TTTGGTATTTACTTAGACTTCAAGCATGCGCAACTCTATACTTCATGGCATTCTTGTTGCGTATCATCGAATGTTTCCGTTAATAATCCATGTCTGGTATTTGCTTCCTGCCAGTATATATATATAAGCAACAATCTGTGTGTTAAACGAAAAGGTAAACGTGTAAACTTAACTATTTTACTAAACTGTAAAAATTTACCTGTGTGAACTATTTATCATTGAGTAAAGTAATCGACCCCTCGTGTGGCAATCATGCTTCAGATATTTTTTTTTAGCGTTCATAATTTAGAATTCACTTTTTTAAAACTAATGTAAATTTAGTATTTGAGATCATTAAGTGAATTACCGTTTACTCAGATGAAAAATTTTTTATATACGAGTAAATTTGCTAAGATAAAGCTTTCATTCAGGCCTGCTTGAGAAACACGTAAATGTAATGTTAGAGTTAAAAAGGGCTTGAGTCAGGAAGGTTAGTGGTTTTGAAGATATTAGAGGGGATAAGGCAGGCATGGCAGACAAAAACATAAAAAAAAAAAAAAAAAAAAAAAAAGATTTTCCTGAAAGGCAATCAGCACGTTTTTGCTAACAGATCAGTTTTCATCTGGACATGCCGGTTTTTAGATTCATGTCCCGGACTCTGTAAAAATTGTGAGTTTCTGATGAAATAAAATAAATTTTCAAATATTATAGATAATTATAATCGTAAATAAACGTAATTATCTCAGAAGCAGACAAAACGGCTTATTTTAGAATAAATTAATCAGTTCAGTATTTTTGATAAATAACAAATAAATAAAAAAAATCTAATAACAAAAATAATAAAATTAAAAAAAAAAATTTCCTCTTTTTCTTACTAAAAATGTTTAAAAGTTAATTTTTTAATTTTTCTAAACATCCTAATTAAGTTATCAGGGTTAGCAATTTTGGAAAGGTGGCAACAGCATTATTCCAGCATTATTTACTGAAGAAGCAATAGACAATGAATTGTATTTATTTGATTACTTATTCATTAATATTCATTCACTGCTCCAGATTTTCTTTAAAATATCCATTATAAACTCATTGAATGTTAACAAAAAGGTGAGGTATTTTTTTTGGGGGGGGGAATAGTTCTTTGATAAATTGAAGAAATATTTTACATTTAATGAACCAGCCAAGAAAAATAATTAATGTATTCATATTTCCTTTAATTAGAAAAATTTGTAAAAATATTCTGTTTTTCTTATTGCAGAGTAGTACTTTCTTAAAATCATTTTTTCTCATTGATTCTGCATAATGTATCTTTTTAAGTATTGTTGAATTTTTAATTTTGCTTAAATGAAGATTTTTGATTTAGTGCATTGTGTCTAAAAATTATTGCACACATCTCAAAGTGATAAAGATTTAAAAGTATTTAAGATGGAAGTAAAATGTATTTAATTTGTTTCTAGAGATGATAAATTGATGAGCTATTAAGTTCACAGTTTCACTATGAGAGTGTATTTTCTTTTACCACATCTAAATAGTGTTCAGCTCTATTCCAAGTTTTTTTTTTTTTTTTTTTTTTTTTTGAGTAATTAAGAAAGCCTAGTATTTTTAGCAGATTTACTGGAGCAATAATAGTGATACTTAGAATAAAGCTCTTTCAAGTTGGTTACAGGCATCTAGAATGCAAAATCTTGGTATTTCTCTATAAGAGGGAAAATCCAGTGGAGTTAAATTCGGCAAGCAATGAAAGAAATGCACATTAAGACAGATTTAGATGAAGAAGTTCCAGCATGCTAGATAACAATGTTAGGTTAATGTCTTGCTGTGGGCAATGCTTTAAAATTATCTAGCATATCCTTACAAGTGTCGCTGTTTATTCAGTTTACAAAAAAAGAGAACTTCCTAGTAACCTTTCTGTTGTGATAAGCTACACCAGACATTAATTTCAGGAGAATTATGTTCATGTTCCAGAACAGTGAAAGGTAACAAAATGCCAGTTGAGTATACCTATTACATGAAATGTGCTCTCATAATTGAAAGTAACAGTATAATAAAATGGTCTCATTTGCAACAATTTCATCTGATAATATCAATCTAGATGCATCTTCTGTGCTAGTTGCAAATCTAAAGTTTGAAACTCTTGTGTAGGATACTGTCAGCTAAGAAACAATAAATGCCCAATTTTCTTCTTGGGGTATGAAGAGATTTCTTAGTATCTCAGACAGATCTTTCTGGAACATGTGTACCAGTTAGAGTGTTATGCATTATACTGCCTATATCTTCAAATAGTTACATCCATTGTTTACTTGAATTTTTTACTTTGCATATAATATTCTATTTTAATTTTAGCAACAGATTTAAACGTAGCAAATTATAACACACATGTGTTTTTTTCTATTTTTTCAGATTTTGTCTAGTAATAAGGTCTTCTCATATATAATGTAGGTAGTGCCATTTGTTGGATATGGTAAAAAAACTGTGATTTCTACTAATAATATGCTATCTCTGTCTCTCTCTCTTCTGTGTTTAATAACTTTATTTCATGTCAACTTTCACTTATGTTTAGTAATTTTTGGACATCCTGTATATCACTTTATAAAATTGCATTGTGTCAACATGTGTCTGTGAAGTTGTTGCTATCTATAGAAATTAGAACATTAATCTTGTAATGCGCTCAACCAAGTTAACTTGGGCACACCAAACCAAATTATTTTTGCTCACCCAAGTAAATACACTCTTTTTAACGCACCACGATGCACCGAGAAGATATAAAGCAAATTGGACACAAATTGATATACATACAGGTTTCAAAGGAAAATGCAAAATTTTTCATTTTGGCTGCCAATGAATGAACAGTTGTCGCTACAGTACATCTGATCTGCGCAACAGGCAGGATATTTAAGAGGAGAAATTAAGATTCCAGGTCATAAATTCTTCACGAATTTTATTCCATGTACTCTGGTAGACAGTAACTATGCCTCGCATACAGGTGCGTGAACGAAGTGCACAGATGTCAGAATTTGAGAGAGGTCATGTAGTTGGGTTCAAAGAAGCCAGTTGGTCTTATCGCCGAATAGCTCGACGTTTGAGCAGGACCAATGCCACTATTAGACGATGTTGGCAGGATTGGGGGAACCATGGCCACACACAGCATCTAGAAGGAAGCGGTAGGCCTAGAGAAACGACAGAACGTGAAGACCGAGCAATCGTCAGAGCGGCACTTACAGCCCCAGATGCATCATTATTATCAATTGTACATGTAACTAGTTCTTCAGTGACCACAAGAACCATTCATAGATGTCTCACAGAAAGGGAGCTGAGGTCACGGCGCCCCTTGCACCGACTACCATTGACCTCTGTACAACATCAAGCCTGTTTGCAGTGGTGTTGTGCTCATTCAAAATGGAATGTCACTGACTGGAGTACAATAGTCTTCAGTGATGGGTCCTGCTTTGAACTAAGCCCCGATGACCAGCGAAGTCGAGTCTGGAGACGCCCCGGACAGCAGTGGGATACCAACCTGACTGACTTCCAGCAGGCAGGCCGACAACCAGGAGTGATGGTCTGGGGTGCCATTTCATTTCATAGTAGGACCCCTTTGGTTGTCATCCATTGCAACCTTACAACACAGCAGTATGTCGACGAAGTTCTAAGGCACATTGTGATGCCCTTCATGTCACGTCTCCCTGGGCTTACGAGACATATTTCTACTGCTTGCCTTAGTGCTTTTTGAACATTACCTTGGCCAGCAAGGTCGCCGGATCTCTCTCCTATTGAGCACGTTTGGAGCATTATGGGCCAGGCCCTCCAACCAGCTTGGGATGTTGGACGATCTAATGCGCCATTTGGACAGAATTTGGCATGATATCCCTCAGGAGGACATCTGCAACCTCTATCAATGGATGCTAAGCTGAATAACTGCTTCCATGAGGGCCAGAGGTGGACAAACGCATTACTGACTTTTTCACTTTGTGAAGCTGTATCACTTCAATAAATCATCGAATTTTTCTCAAACTGTAATCATTTGTTCTTTTATATATGTACATGACTTCTACCGATGGTTCTAACTCCTTCTTGGTGCGTCGCTTTTTTGGTCTAAGAGTGTACATTCAAGATTTTTATTTCCAGGTATGAATACAACATGTTATATCCATTACAGTTTTGAGTTAAAATAAAGAATAAAAAAAATTAAAAAATAGGCAGGAATCATTCCTGAATTTTTATTGGTATATTAAGGGGGCTACAGTGCCGATCCTAGACCGTCGGCCACCCATGTGCAAATTAAAATTGGCTAATCTTTTTTACAGAAATATAATGTTTTATAATCATTTTGTCACCTTTAAATTTGTCTGCCCACATATTGTGCACTATCTTGCCTTTCGCTAGGATCGGCCCTGAGGGACTAATAATATTGAAAGAAGTGTTTTGGAGGGTGGAGAAGAGGGTTAACTTAAAAAAAAAACTAGCATTTTAAGGTCAAAGTTTGGTTCTAGAAATATTATTAAGGTAACAGTGTCTTAATATTTAAATGCTGAATTAAATTATGTCAAATAATGATTATTGGAGGAAATCAGCGTAATATCAGTGCAAATATTTACATTTCTGCAACTGAAGAAGAAGGTTCATTATTTAAACCTTCGAAAGTAGTCCTGCAAATTTATGAACATTATGCTGATTCTTGTTGCTTTAACTCCTGAAATAATTTAAATGTTCTTTTGCTAATCTAATTTAAAAACTACATAATGACTTTTCAAATTATTTATTGATTTACTTCACACGCTGAACTATTTTCTAGGCATTTGATAGGCTAAACATATTGTTCAGTTCTCTTCTTCCCAATTAATGCTAGTTTTGTGATTTTGCAAACTGGGATATTATAGAAAAAATTATGTAGTAAATGTAAAGTTTGTATTAAAAAATTGTATTGTAAAAGTTGTATTATTTATTGTATTAAATGTATAGTCTTTATAATGTCTCGTATATATAATAATAATAAATCATGATTTTTCAATCTTATTTTTTTTTTATTCTTTTCAGGTTCTTTTTATAATATGTGACCTGAAGATGACTAAGATCTATGGCTGAAGATGTTCAATTAATTTCATATAGGAAATGAAAGATACACCCTTAAAAACTAGTCCTGTTCCCCTGATGCCGAAATCCAAAATTGGCATCAAAAAAGAAAAAATGGCTGCTAAAAAGATAAAGGAGCTGAAGACTCCAGTTTTAAAAGCCAGTAGCAGTAAAAAGGTCAGTTTGAAAAGTCCTGGTAAGAAATGTAGTAATAGTAAGGAAGTTGAAGATCCACCCAAAAGAAAACGAGGTAGACCAAGAAATGAAGATAGGATACAAAATAAAAAGAAAGTTAGTGACCCCAAACCTGCTAAGAAAACTGATGAAGTTGCTACTTGTAGAAAGAGAAAGCTTCCTCAGAATGTTGTAAAAACTGAAAAGGAATTTATTAACCCACCTCCTAAGAAACCAAAGAGTAATGAAACAAACTGCAACATGAATGGCAGTATTAAAATGCCTGTTTCTCCTGTACATAAGCCTTGCATTCAGAAAGGAGAATCACCAACTGTTGTAGAACATACTATCACAAATAGTAATGGTAATATTCATTGTAAAAAAACTTTAACGTTTGGTACAAAAAAGCCTATTGTAAGTTCAATTACAAAAAATTCTTTGTTTCCTACAACAACAAAAAGGGAAATGGTGAATGGGAATGGCTGGGTGAAACAGTGCAAAAATCAACTTACAAAAAATAATAAAAGTATCCCTAAAAAGATCACTGAAGTAAGTACTCTTCCCAAAGAATGTACAAAAGAAATAAAGGTAGAAAAGGTGAATAATATTATAACTCCTTACCAGGAGCCTATAAAGTCTCATCCACAAAGAATGGCTAGTCTTGATGCTTTAGCTAAAATGCATGTAATTTGTACAACAGATCGGAAACCAATAGAACATCATCCTAAAACTACTTCTGTTATAACTGTATGTTCTCAGCCATTCAGTCATCAAAAATCATTAACACAGTGTCATGAAAGTATACGTTTTGATGTTAAAAAAGAAAGTAAAGATTGTAAGGGAAATATTGTGCATAAGCAGATCAATTATGTGAAAGAGAAACAACAAGTTTTTGTATCTCATTCTGTTGAACAGTCTTCTGTCTTGGAGCACAAAGAACAAAGTAAAGCATTAAGTTCTAAATCTCAGCTGGAAAAGGATAAAAAGAAAAAAATGAAACCATCACAGAACTCATCACCAGAATCTACAGAAACAGGTAAAAGTGCAAAGCTCAGGAAAAATGTTTCAAATAATTTAAAGTTTTTAGAAATCTTGCCAAAGAAAGGTGGAGCAAGCAAGTCTAAATCTTCAAAAGACAAGGAAGATGATAAGAAAAGCACGAATAATAAAAACAAAACTCCAAAGATAGTTAAAAAAACTTTCAAAGACAAACAAGATAATAAAGGGAACAATAAAGCTAAAAAAGTTGAACAAACTAAGTCAGAAGTCAAGGTCAAAGAAACTATTAGAATGCAGAAAACTTGCACATATCAGTCTGTTACAACTGTTAATAGCCATGGTACTACAGATTCTGTATGTGTGCCTGTTAGTCATGTTGGTATGACTACAAATTTTTCTAAAACTAAGAAAACAGTTGTGACTGATGAAGAATGCAAGAACAAAATTAATTATTCTAGTGGAAGTGTTATTAATAACACTTACTGTTTAACTTCTGAAAGTCCGTGTTCTGTCTCTCATCGTGCTGACTGTTGTAAGTTCCATTCACATACTACACCTCAGCTTATTCCTTTTGCCCATGTACAGACATGTCCAATAGGGCACAGTATGTCAAGAACTTCTGGTTCATCCTCATCTTCATCATCTCACTGTGATGGAAACAGTGCAGTGCACAGGTTTAGCCAACCACCTGTTGTCTACTCTCCGTCATCTAGTGATTATGGTTTGTATATAATATTTCTTTTTATTATTTTATTTGTTAAAAGAAGTTTTAATTTTTAGTTCTTAATTTTAAATTTGGTGTTCTAGTAAGGAGTTCTGCAGCTTTTTTACTAATTTTAACAGTTTCCTCGTCCCCTGTAGAGTTAAATTGGGAGACATAGCCATAAGTTTTGTTCTTTGATTAAGTTGCATATTCATTTCTGTTTGTCTGAATTTTTTTTTAATGTAATAAAATGATTTATGCTATTGGTTACTTGACTGCTCCCTTCTCTCTCACCATTTGTCATGTTTGCCACTTTGGTATAGTTAGAGAGGAAATGCTATGATCACTAGGGGGTTCAAGGAATATGCTTGTTTGGTTTACATACATGCTTTCTGTAATAAATAAATATTTTTTCCTCTATGCATCACTTTTGATATCTGAAGTCAAGTTATTATCAACTTGTATTGTTTATTTATTCATTTATTCTCCCCCCTTTATCAAGAAATTTAAAAGAAGTCGTAAGTGATCAGAATCAACTCCTTTCAATAGGTAATAAATAATAATATGTTATTTCTTTTTATGAAATGAACTATACTGCTCAAAGCAACTTTGCTTTAATAACTGTTATGGTTTCCCCTGATCGAAAGCAATGTTGCACACCTGAGAGGCATAGAATCAGTGAATTTATCAAAGGAAAACTGGGTATTCTTTTTCACCCTTGTAGAGTAGCAGTTTCCAGCTACTGAACTGTTTCTGTCGGCAATAAACAACTAGCAAACCTTCTATCTAGAATACCCCAAACATATTCAGTTAGGTTTCGTGCTTTAAAAACATGCTGCTCAAGCCATTTGGATGATTCCTTTGTTGAAAAGGAATAGCTGGGTATGGTGTAACTCAGCTTTATTATCCATGTGAATGAATTCATCAATGATTGCTGCAGCATAAGGGACCACAAAAGGTCTGAAGATCTCATCTCAGTATAATCAAACCATTAATAACCCATTTCTGATGATATGCATGATGATATGGCCATTACTTGAGATGCCAACTAAGCCCATCATTCCTTCTTCTCCAAATTAAACACTTTCATTTGTAAGTGAAAGACTCTTTAAGGTGCCATATTCTCTTCGAATGGGTAAGCCAACTATTTTCATACTAGATGCTTAAAGCTTACTCATTTGAACACTTAAAGTAGACTCATCTGCGGAAACAAAAATACTCCATTAATTTTGTTTCCATCTGAGAATACTTTTATGTCCATCCTCTGTGGGCAGCATGGTGAGCCACTGTTAAAGAAGGATAGTGTTAAATATCAATCCTGATTTTATATTGCATACTTGCGACCTTCTGGTATTCACCTGACATTTTCAGTGTCCATGCACTTACACCATACTTAAAAATTTTGCTACATAGAAACTCCAAAATCTCCTGCTACAATCATATTGCATTTAGTCTGCTTCAAAATGTGTGATGGCTACCAGATTTTTAAAATACATTGCTCAAAACACTTAGGGGTGTAAACTGTTGTTGAAGCATCGCATTCAGTATACAAAGCATTCAATGCATGTTGTTTTTAATCTTCTGTGTTAAAATGCCACATGTTACTTCCCACTTCTTATCAAAACTGCATAATATTTGACATCACAGCTAAAATTTACAAAGTTTGTAAATGAAATAATTTTCTTTTTAATCTCTCTCTCTCTCTTTTTTCAAGGTCATTTATATGATTGTTATGCCTTTAATTGCTTCAAACAGTGTATTTTAAAATTCAGTTGCATTCTAGTTGTAACTGAAATAAATGATAAATTATTATGCAAACTTAATTTTTTTTAAAAAAAATAGCAGTAAATAAAATGTTACCACAAACATTAGGAGACTGAGCTGGGTAGCAGTAGAGATATTAATAGGTAAATGCTACAGAATGTGCTTAACATAAATGTTAAGCACATTCTGAAAGTTGTATACTTTGCTATTGGGCATTCCACATAGGTAGCCATGTCGTTGAGACAGTTATCATACAGCAAAGCAAGTTTTTGTGTATGCTTTTTATATGCTTTGCAGCCAGTCTGTTGAAAAATTCTGTTACCCTTACCAGGAATTTTGAATTGTAAAAGCACTTTCCTGCCAAAAAATTAATAATCCCTAGCTATGACAGTGAAAAGCTCCAGCAAATAATAAGTGCATTTCTCATTGGACCAGCTGTAGAACTGTTTGACAAGCTGATGAAAATATTTGTCTTCTGCTATGGTAAGTGGCTCAATGCCATAGGCGCCTGTTATTATGCTATAAGCGTACAATTAAGCCCAAGGTATGTACTTTCAAAATAAAAATGTCTTTATTCATTAATACTGTTTATTCTTTACTATTATTAAATGAGTATTATGTTTCGATGTACTATGTGAAGTTGTTTATGGCTACATAGTAACTAATTTCATCAATAGCATAGGCAGCACTGGTTCATAAAAATTCTTAATTTCATGACTCCTCTTTTTTAGTTTTTATATTCCATAGTGAACTCTGTGTTTATTCTGCTATCCAGATTGAGGTGGTATCTTTCTAAAATTGTGCAGTGTTGATGAAGAATAGCTAATTCCTAAGGTTTTGTCTTTAGTTCACTTGAGAAATGAGTCCTTTGCAAACCCAGTTCCTTTCAGTAAACAAATGTTCTTGGTCACTGAAGTACTGAAGGCTTCAGTATCTCAGTTTTAATGTGTACTGGAATTCAAGCAAAAACATTTTCCAATAGCCTCAGACAATGTTTTTAAAAAAGAAATTTTGCTATTTTTTAACTCTGTGGGAAATAGTTTCCAAATGAATAAAAATGGTTGATTTAATCTGAATCATATCTAGAGCAGGTATTAGAGATTCAAATATTACATGCAGTGTTTAAAAAAGTGTTAAAAAGTCTTGTTAATGTGCACATGTATAAAAAATTAATGGTAACTTAATTTATATGATTTATATGATTGTTATGCCTCTAATTGAATTACCTATTAAAGTTTTAATGGGTAATTCTTTTTTTAACATTAAATGCTAAAAAAAAGAGGTTCATATGACAGGACATATGACAGGAGAATGCTTTTATGTGTGAGGGTATTCTGTCTTTGAGTTACTAAACACTTTGTCTGTTTGTCTAGTTGTAATTCTAGTTTTTATGGTATAGGCTCAGAAGAACATATTTAAGAAGCTTTACTCCTGAATCTAAATGAATGTATTATATTTGCTTTCTTTTTGTAGCATGAGCTCAAGAAATGTTTGCACCGACTTTTATGAATTTACATATTGGTCTGTCAGACCATGAGAAGAAGTTATTCATAGGAAGTTGTATCTGAAACTGTGACCAGTTACTGCTAGAGAGCAATGTTTGCAAATATATTGGAGAGCTGAAAGTGGGATTATTTCAGGCAAGGACATTTCAGGAGAATGATGTATCAGCTGCTGTAGGTGTGCTACAGGAAGTTGAGAGGAATGTAGGTACAAGTAATCACAGCATTTGAACATGACCTAGGTGTACCTTGCTTTAGCATTATATGCTTATTGCATGAGGACGTGCTACATCCCTAACACATCCAAGGACAACATGTTTCATTCTCATGTTGATATTTGCATGAATGTAACATAAGCCGGATTTTCCATTGTGTATTCTATTTACTGATGAAGCTTTTTCACAGAGTGCTGTCCTAACTTCCACAGTTTGCATGTGTGGGTGCATGACAATCCCAGGAGTGCATTCACCCATGCAAACCAACAGTGCTTTACCATAAATGTGTGGGCTAGTATTGTTAGTGACTTTCCTGATTGATCTTGACATAGCCTTAAAGCCTCAATGGGTATATCTATCTCATTGTTTAGAAGAGTTATCAAAATTTGATGGACATCATTCCATCAGCTTTACACCAACAGATCTAATTTTAGCATGATGTTGTACCTGGACATTGTGTGAGGCCACCATGATAGGACTTACTTCATCACTGGATTAGTAGAGGCAGACTGTCAAATGGAACACCCCAATCCCCTGACTTCACCGCATTTCTTCTTGTGAGATACAGAAGAAGTCCCTGGTATCCAAGACACCTGTAACATCCAACATCATCCTTGTGGCCAGTCATGAAAGCAGTGGCACATGTCCAGGACACACTTGGCCAATTTGAATGTGACCATCCATGCGTTGACATTATGAAGCATGCATTGTGGTGAATGGAAGGAATTTTGAGCACTTTTTATAGCCATGATTATTTCCATCATCTGTATCCTGTATCATTAAGTTTTTTTTTAATAAAGTCCTTTAATTGCTGTTATGAACTCACTTTCTTTGCATGCCAATCATGCTACTGTTGCACCATATTGTTTGCTTGATTTTTGGATGCAACTTCTGATGTAATCTGAAGGTCAGTATCATGGTCTGATAGACCAGTACGTAAAGTTAGTATACTACCTTTTGAGAAACCATGCATAGAAAAAAGGTGTTGGCTTTTTTTTTTTTTTTTTTTATTTATTTTTTAATGTTTTTATAATGGAATTGTATTTTTATTAAATTAAAAATTAAGTAGTGTCAAAGAGCTTACTGCTTAATTCCATAGTCAGAAATAATAAAGTATGTGTGGGAAAGTTGTAATCAGATTGATAAAATTGTTATACCTTATTGTGAGCATTATTGTCATTGAAAGTACTTGCACTTCTATACTTTTTTATCAGAGCTATTATTTTTAGCTAGTCTATAATAAACATGTTGATTAAATGCAATTGCTATTTTAAGAGTATGTTATTTTTCGAAAATATGATAAAGTTGTCCTGGGAATAATTGAGGAAATATCATGTGATTATTGTTGAATATGTATGTATATTTGAAATGTTTTCTCCAATCAAATTATTGACTTATAATTTTGTTTCCCGATCTTTAAAGGCTGTTGCTGTTCCAGTTCCTTGGTACAAAATGTTCATGATTCATGTTTTGTAAGGAATAGCATTGTACCTTATCCTCATCATCACTCGCACCACACCCACCATATCCCTACCAGTGCTTTCTCCTCAGAAACATTATGTACGGATTGTCATCGTCCTAGCAATACATCATTAGAAGCATCAAGACACGTACAACATTTTGGTCTATCTTCCTCTTCGCATTCTAGAGTAGGTTGCTGCTCATGCTGTGAACTTGTGCGTGAAAGTAACCAGCTTCATCATCAGTCGACCGGGAGTTGCCTTCAGTATTTGTCTTCATCAAAGAGTTCAGCAAGTCTTGTGCCTTGTGAGCAATCTCCTTTGGACCTATCATTGGCTTCGACATCTTCCAGTGCAAGTGTAGATCCTGACTTCTCCTTGCCTACGGGACATTGTCCCAGTCCATTCTGTTGCAGAGATCTCTTACTTTTGAGGACATCCACACCACATGGATTTCAGCAAAGCAAGTTTTCTCCAAATAAGAGTTGCTGTAGGTGTGCTAAGCAAGTCATTTGTGAAAAGCCAAGTGTTGAAACAGTAAAAAAAGTGCAATGTTCAAACACTACAGTTAAGCAACATGGTCAGCCACATCAGTCAGTTGATCATGTTGCGTTGTTGACGTCTCCTGTTGGTAAAGAATCAGTTATCCCTCCAAATGTCTCTGCATCAGGTGCCACTAGCAAAAGTGTACCTCATGTTTTAACAGATAATTTAGTTACTACTAAACGAGAAAAAAATACATCACCGAAACAGTCTACTAAAGTGTCATTAATCAAGAAGCGTCACTTTGCTCATGGCTGGAGCTGGAAGGGAGAGCCAAGAGAGAGATTAATTGCTCTAACAGTATGTTGATGTTTTATGTTATATGTACTAAATTATACATTGCCAAATTTTTAGCTATTTTATATTCTTTATCATATTTCTATTATGTGCACACAGAACCAGATTTAGATTTGATAAGGCCCTAAGCTGTTTGAGATATAGGGCCCTTTATAAGTTCAGATATTACATGTCAGTGCCAGATATAATTTTTGGATACCTAGAGGATTTTTTGGAGCAATAAAGCAAGGGCCCTAAGCTATAGCTTGTGTAGCTTATACATAAATCCTGCAATGTGTGCACATAAAATGGACTGTTTATTAAACATTTCAGAAAAATTATATAACTGAGAAAGGTTATTAAACACTTTATAAAAAGTATATAACTGAAAAGGTATATGCTGCATGTACAGTTAATTCCATTTAATAAGGTTCCATTATTAGTTAATTGGGGCAGCCCTTTTTTACCAGATTTCAAAGAATGAAAACCAAACTAATAACCTATTACATAATTGGAGTGTTTAATTGGAACAACTTTTCGCTTAATTGGGACAGTAACAGAAAAGGAATTTAGCAGTTTTTGGTGTATTTTAGGGGGTTTCCAAAAGTATGTCAATCAATACCTGTGTACACTGATATCAACACTAGTATGATGTGAATTGATTATCTGTTATTGTATGACTGGCAAGTATACATTGGCTTAAGAGACTATCATTACTATACCTAGCAATATATTTATTTACTGTTTACATTTTATTAACAATTTGAAACTTTTGCCAGATGCGGAAGACATAATTTTACACTTTCAAGTAAAATTGCTTTCCTGAGTAAAATTAAAAGCCACTCATTGAATACAAGACATTCTAGACTTCATGATATACCATACTTATTTGCATATTTTCCCTGCTAGCTTTTTAGTATAAAGTCCGTAATCCAGACGTCCATTATCCGGAATAATCTATAATCAGGACCTCAAAGCCACAATTTTTTTTTTGTATGCTTTACGCATGCGCATTTCATGTATAATGGACAGTATAAGCTAGGCTAAGATTATCTTTACTGATCCTAAGGCATTTCAGTTAATATTGCAGATTGCGCTGTTCCTTAAGCGGTAATGAATGAAGATAATATAATAGAAGTTTTTCATTGTGACAACGATGACAATGCCCCAATCATTAATCAATTAACGGATGGTGAAATCTGTAGTATGGTTCTAGACCCAGAAAATACCACTTCCGATAATGAAGAAAGTGACAGAGAGGTTATTGAAAATGAAAAAATTTTGATTGATAAGTTAGTCAGTATTCTCGACGCAGCAGTTACAGGACTTGAACAGTGGAACTTTGTAACTGAACAAGAAATTATGTCTGTTTATAGAATTAAAGAGAAAGTATTAGCACAAAAAACGAAGCAATTTAAACAACTTACATTGAAAGAAATGTTTAATAAAGTAAACAAATAAATATAAAGCTTTTTTTTTTTTTTTTTTTAAATTTTGATACCCTTTAGATCATAATTGCTCTTTATTTCATAAATTATGGTTTCATATTTTTAATTTTATAATTTCTGCATGCCATCTTACCAGATTTAAACTGATGATCTATAATCCGGAATCGCCGAAGTCCCGACGAGACCGGATTAAAGACTTTTGACTGCATATCTTTTGAATTTTTGCTTGAAGCCATCCGTATCTTTAAAGCATTACACTGAAATCAAAACTTTACTATAAAATTTGATATGCTTTTTATTTATTTGTCTTTTAATAGTTGAATTAATTATTCAAATAATTTTTATTAGACTATATTTTAAACTATTTTTTTTCTCTTTCTGCGTTCTAATTATAAGTACATACAATTTCTGATTTACTTTTTGAAACAGGAAACAAACTTTTAAAAAAGTTATTTCTTTATTCTTCTGTTATCTCATGTTGCAAATATCACATTTACGACACCCAAGTACAGAATGATTTAGAGAGTTTACATCGGAATTTCAAAAGTTTATAGTACCTTAACAATTGTGTTAAATGTATGGATGTGTACACACTAGGACAGTGTTCTGTGGAGAGAGAGAGAGAGTTAACTCCAGATTACTCAGGCCTGTTATATTATGTGTGGAGTGTTGACATTTTATTTTCTCACATTCTAATTGGTATGATGATGAATTTTGTATCAATAATTTTGATATTAAGTAGTAATTTTTGTCCTTGAATCAAGTATACATAAAATTTAAAAACAAATCGAGGAATAATAAAAAATAACTTGAATTTTTTTAAATTCAAATTTCTAGTCTCACTTTTATAGAATGATATGCAATTAAATTAATTCCTTATGAACTAAAGCTGCATTATCTTGAACTTTGGAAAAAATGTTGAATGTATTACACTGAAATTATGAATTCTAAATGTTTTAAGTACTTATTTGTATTGCAAAGGAAAAGCTATAAGTTTTTTTTTAGCGTTACTAATAAAAACAAGACTATTGGTAGTGAACTGTTTGGCAGCCAAAACAGAAGTGGTTGAAAAAATTTGTGAAACATTTTTACAAAATCCCAGAAAATTAACACATCATGCTAGTTCTGAACTCTACGTGCCTCATGTAATGGTCTGTGTTATGGAAATATGTATAATTACGACCATACACCTTTCAGATGGTGTAAAACCTTCCGATAAACCATTGTATAAAGCTTTCAGTGAGAATTTACAAGATAAGTTGGAGGTAGGTTGTTTCACAAACAGATTCGTATTTCTGGATGAAGTCATTTTTCACATTTCTCGTTAATGGAACCATAATTTACAATTTAGGGGCATAAAAACCCATGTGGTGTAATAAAACATGAGCTTGATTCTCCAAAGGTGAATGTCTTTTTTTCTTTGTGGAAAAAGTTGTTAACAGGTGGGTGCATTTACTAAGACATGTGGAATGGTTGTTTTGCCGCAGAGGAACAATTACTCCACATATCTTGGTATCAATGTGCTTGTTCCGTTAGTTAGAGGAAGCAGTTCTTGGCTTTGTTCTGCAGGAAAATGGTTCTCTGTCTTGCTGCAGAACTGGCATAAAAAGTGTATGCCAGTACCTGAACAGTAGTCTACCCCATTGCCTGATTGGCCATGCTGGGTCAAATGATATGCCATTGCTTTATTGGCCACTGAGATCCCCTGAGCTAACCCCTTGTGATTTTTCCTTATGGGGTTTTGTTAAAGACGAAGCATTTGTGCCTCCATTTCCTCAGGACTTACAGCAGTGAAGTGCTCGAATCATTAACAAAGGATATTCTATCATGAGTGTGGCAGGAACTAGAATACAGCATATATATTTGTCTTGTCACTGGGGGGGGGTACACATAGAACATCCATAAAAGCATGGAAAACTATCGTTTCACTTATTTTTGATCTCTCAAACTAAAATAACTGCAGCGTTCACAGGTATGCTTTCTTTTTTGTCCCATTTATTATGAAACATCCTGTGTTTAGGAAAATTTTTTCCCATTATAAAACAGAAATCATAAAAAATTTAATTGTGATCAAATTGAAAATTGACCAAGGTTTCATTTCCATCTTGCGTTGAAGGGTTCGTTTACTATATTAAAGGTAATTTCTTTCCTGGTAAATGCCATTCAACAATATTTTGTGATTTACTAATGGGTAACATTCTTTAATTTTTAATTTTGTTACAACTAGAATGAAGAAGCAATTTTCGCAGCAGTAACTTATAAACATTCAATTTAATATACTGCCATTGCCAGAAATAAAAGTACTTTTATTTTTCACCCCAGGCATTTAGCCAATCAATAAAAACTTAGGTAACTTTTAGATTTAATCTGGAATGTTAGTAACAAACCAAGTGATTTAATTAAAAATACATTTAAATTATAAAATATGTAATTAGGAATATTAAATATTTTTATGAAATGACATTAGCTGGATTCGTTAAAATCAATACATATATACTTTTTTCTTTTTTATGATAATTCTTTTAGGCGGCTGATTGCTCATGTGGTTTTCAAGGAAACACATATACATAAAAAAAGTACTGCAACTCCTAACACTCTATCAGGAATATTAAAGATATACTTTTAAAAAAAATTTTGTGATTTTGCTCTTGAATTTTTATCTGATGTAAGTGCACAGAATTATAATTAAGCAGTGCATAATATTAAAGCTAAAAAGACAGAAAAATTGTGTTAGCAGGAGTGAGCCCAAGAGCAGATTGGTAATGTGCGATGCTCAGAGAGAGCATAAAAAACCCTAAGAAACCCTCTTGTGCAACATTAAAATCTGAGTCTTTTCAGTTTTTTGAGAGAATTAAATTCATTTTGATTTTTAAATCTATTACTTTCAAAGGAAAGAGCTATACACCTAAGGTTTGTGTTTTTATTTTGCAAAACATTGCTAAGTTGTTGGAAGGAAAAATGGCTTTATATTAGGAGAGACTATGTCATACAGTTTTGTCAGATTCTCAGTTTCATCACAAATTTCTTTTCTTCATTGCAGAAGAAATTAAATGTAAATTTGTATGCTTTTAGAATCTTGCATGATTTTGACTTGTTAGCAGCTGTAGCTATCAAGCATTTTTAAAGGATAAACCTAGTTATAGTTCTCACTTTGTTCTATCATTGTATGTATATGTAGAACAAAGTTTCTAGTTGTAGTGTAGCATTTAAATGCTGAATGCAGTGTTTCAGAGTTTTCCAACTAAAGAAGAATATTATTCGAAATTATCGATCATCACAGGTCAAACTCAAAATATTTCTTTTAAACTGTAGAGCTTGCACATTCATTTTGCAAGAAATTATTGGGAACTTGATGTGAAAAATGAAGTTTAGAACTTCTGATCTTGTATTTTTGGACTGAACTGGTAAGTATTGAATAAATCGAGTGTGCATTTTAGACAGCTTATATAAGAGAAATTTATTTTAGATTCTTTATTATTTTTTAAGTTTCATTGTTATTTTTTTAAGTGGATTTTTTTTTAGGTAATAAGTCATTCATCTGTGATAATGATGAATGAAATATGCAAAATACTTTGTTGTTTCTTTATAATAATTTGTACTGTTTCAGAGCCTAAAATTTTAAATTTGAATGTTAAATCTTTTATTATTGAAGGGTATTTATCAAATATGCATATATAACTGCTGGAAATTGTTCTCTCATTTTTAACCTTGAATCTTACTTACAATGAATATATATACATATTAATGCTATGCTATTAATGGAGTGTGAATTTTTTTAATGTATTATAGAATGATTCCATTCCATGTCCACGTACTTGCTATCCTAGTATTCAGCATAAAGAAGGAGATACCATCTATGAAAAAGACTGTGTTTTGTTGCGATCTGGACCAAAAGATACTGATTTACCATATGTTGCTAAAGTTGCTGCATTTTGGGAAAATCCAGAAGATGGTTAGTAATCTTGAATGTTTATACATGCAAAATAAAAAATTGGTTGCATACTTTCATTTTGTGAAACCTCTTCATGCATTATTATGTAATAATATTGGTTGATATTAATTCACAATTGAGTTTGACTGTTGATGGAGTGTGAATTTAATCTGATCAGGTACAAATACTTTATATATCACTAATTTGTTACTGTGTTGATATTTGACAGTCTACATAGGTTGATATTTGTCAGAATATAGTAAGATTCAAATAATCTGCACATCTTTGGGATTAAGGTTCATGCAGAATAGAGGATTTTACAGATTGAGTCTTGTTTTTCTAATTCTCCTAAGATTTGTTTTTTCTAATTTTGTCATTAAATTTGGGCAGTTTGCACATATATAATTAAACAAAACATACTGATATTTTAAAAATTATTTAATTAAGATTTTTTAATATAAAACCATTATATTTTTAAATATTGTTAGTATAAAAGTTGGAAAAAGGTTAAATTATATTAGTTAGAAAAGGGATAAATTATAGGAAAATTTTTGAGGAAATTAAGAATTCTCTTTTAAAAGTATATGAGGTCCAACAGAGGTAGAGTGGTAAGTCGCTGAATAATGGTAATTTGACCTGGGTTCAATTCCAGGCATACGGGCTGGCTGCATGGACGTTTTCATGGTTTTCCCTATGTGCAATGTAGATATGAGCCAATTTCCCTTAGAAAGTACTTTGAAAAGGCATTTTATCTCATAGGTAGAGAGCCCTCATGTTGCCATAATCAAAAAAACCAACAAAAATATTTTGTGTAAGGAATATTTGTCACTAGTGAAATTGTTCTCAAAGTAATTATTGGGCACTTAGACTAACATAGCTGAGACTAACATAACTGTATTTAGAATACAGTTATGTTAGACTTGAGACTAAAGAGGGGTAAGGACCTTTTACAAAACCCAAAAGTAAAGGTTTTCTTAATTGAATTTCTACGTTAAGTCGGGCATTGCATCTCGCACATGCCTGACTAGAAGTTCATAAAAATATTAGACTAGAAACTTTGGATTGAAGAAAATTTTCTGTTCTTTAACATATCATCCTTTGCCACGTTTTCCATTTTTAACAGTGGGGAAGATCAGTACAAGTGCTGTATCAAAAAATATATCTGTATTTGTCCTTGATGATGAGCATGATCATAATATGGAATGTTAGCAAATCAGTGAAGAGATGTATCTAATTTTTAACTTAGTGTTTTAAAAGTTGTGAACAAATAAATTATTTCATCATATCAAATAAATTCTTTCACCAATGTTCATGCAGCAGAATACATATCCAAAAGTAGAAATTTTCCTCATTGCTTAATGTAAAAACAAAGCACTGACATATGTGAGGGAAATGCTAAAAGACTTTCAGTAGTGAAATAAATTTGCTTCTTCTATCAAGATACCATAAATTAAGTGCATTTTTTTGTTTAAAAAAGTTTATTTACACACACGCGCGCGCACACACACACTATTTTTGCCTTAAGCATTAAGTATTTTTGCCGTTAGTATTACATAAGAATTTTGTGAGGAGGTTAAATTTTTCAGTTCAGAGAAAATTTATTACAAGCAATTACTATTTTTAGAATAGAAAAAGAGAAATAACCAAACTAAAAAAGAGACCTTAATGGGTTTTTCAAATTAATATAAGTATTTTATCTAACCCATTTCTTGGATAATTAAAAATGTTGTAAAATTATTATTGGCTGTTTGAGTTTTAGTTCCATCTACATCACCAGCATTATGAAAAAGTCGTGACATTGATTAGTCTCAAAATGACGCAGTGCAGAAAAAGGTATTTAGAATACAATTATGTAACTTTACCATGCAGAAATATGGTTTGGAGCTGTGTGAATACTTAATCATTTTTTTCTGATGTTTCCAGTTGTCATAAATTTTTCATTATAATATATAGCAATTAGTGTCTGTCTTGTGATAAAGACTATGAAAATCTTTTAATTTCAACATTCCTCATCTAAATAATTAGAGACTGTTTATGCATACGTATTCTTAAATGTGAAGAAGTAAAGTGATCAGATATTCTTTGTATGAAAGTTTGTTTCTTTTCCAGGGGAAATGATGATGAGTTTATTATGGTATTATAGACCAGAGCATACTGATCAAGGACGAAAGCCAGGGCAGATGGAAGATGAAGTATTTGCTTCCAGGCATAAAGATGTTAATTCCGTCGCTTGCATAGAAGATAAATGCTATGTACTTACGTATAATGAATATTGCAGGTAAAATTTTTATGTTATAAATTTTCTTTTGAACTCTTCATTTTTTATGATTGCCTATCTAAGTTGACTGATTTAATTTTTCTTCATTTTATATGAACATATCTAATTTCATCCAAACATTCAACAAAGCTTTTAAATACTTTACCACAACTTGATTGTTGGATGTTGTTGTACATAAATAAATCATTATGTACATTCACATTATTTAAGAAAACTAGAAATGTCCATTTTTTTGCGTACATAACTATAAACCTGACAGTTTTTGTTTTTAGTCTGGTAGTGTTTTCTGGTAATATTTCTCCCTCATTAAAGGTTTTTTTATGTATGGCAATGATTTTGAGGCTGTTGGGAATTTTTTATGAAAAACATTTGCATTTGTATCAGAATACTTAAAAGTAGCTGTATATAATTCACAGATACTCAGTTTCTGTTGTTACAGAGGTCATTAAATTGCAGTTTGCCTTATTTCTGTTTAGGAGAAGCAACAAAACTAGTAGCAGTTATATTTGAAGGATTGCCAGTGTAAATTAATTATGATTTCCAACTGAATGTTTATATTTACTCAAGTAATAGATTCTTTTGCTCCCTCCCCTCTCCTCAATTTATGCTGCTCTTGAATATTTTATGATTTGTATCCAAACTTCACTAGTTGGTGATGCACTCGCTGAATGCTGCTGTTTCAGACCGCTTTTTATTCACCATGGCATTCACTACAGCCACAGTTTTAGAATTAATTGCTACATTAAGAATTTTTAAATTTTATTTTCACTGGCCATGTCAAAATAAATTAAGTCAAATTATTCAAATAAAATTCAGAAGCAGTTTTAAAATAAAGTTTTTAAATGCAAATTATTGGGTTGGCAAGAAAAAGAATTTCAGTTTGCACAAATAGGTACCGCTGTGTTCATTTTATTATTTTTGTGATAATGTTATATTTTTTTCTCTTGAAATTTGGCTACCAACAATTTTAGGTTGCTCTAGAAACAAAGTCGGCCCCTTTTTTTTTTGCTATTATTAGTTTACGGTTAGTTTGCTGTTATTAGGTGCAAATATAAACATTTTCAACATAGTGTACTTTATTTTCATAAAGGCAGAACTGCAACTGAGGCTCACAAAGAGATATGGGGAGTTTATGGTGTTGACTGCTTAATGGAATGCATGTGGTTTTAAAAATTTCATTCTGGAGATGTTTCACTTGAAGATGACCAACATGTTCGTCAACTTTCTGAAGTGGATGATGATAAAGTTAAGGCCATAACTGAATCGAATCATCATCTAACTCTGCAAGAGAATGCAGAAAGGTTAAGTGTATCAATCACAACTATTGAAAACTCCATAAGATGTCTTGTCTTGGACTTGTTAAAATGCTCGATATTTGGGTTTGCATACATTGAAAGAAATTCACATTTTGCATGCACACATTTATTAACATCAGTATTTGCAATATGCTTATTAAATGTAATGCAGTCGACCCTTTTTTAAATGAGTTATCACTGGAGATGAAAAATGGATCGTCTGCAATAGCATTAATCGATTGAGATCATGGTCCAAGCATGAAGAATCAACTCAAATCACATTAAAAGCTAAATTGCCTTAGAAGATAATGCTGTCAGTTTAGTGGGGTGTACAGAGGTGTTGTGCATTTTGAGCTGCGTCCAAGCAGCCAAATGATCAACTCGGTTATTAACTGCCCACAGGTTATGAAATTGGAGGAAGCAGTCAAAAGAGGCCTTGAAATATCCTCTGGACAGACGAAGTGCATTTTCATTTGACAGTGCAGTGAATACTCACAACTGCCAAATTTGGGAATCAGAAAATCCATGCCCTGTCTTAGATGTTCCATTGCATTCTCCAAAAGTGATGGAATGAAGTGGATTTTTTGTGGTGTGATCATTTATTCTCGGCTCGTACTTCTTCTAATAGATAAGTTCCTTAGGTGCAGTGACATGCTCCATCAATGGGTAACAATATGCATTGCTGTTAGAGAACAAAATTCTGCAAACATGTCAGTCCCTTGCATGCACAATCTTTATGCAAGATAGACCCCCTCCACCATTTCATGGTATGTTACGAATATTCTAAAACGTTATTTTACAGAAGAGCATGTCATTAGCCATAATGTGTGGCCTTCCCAATCTCCAGGTCTCAATCCATATAATTTTGCTTTGGGAACATTTGGAACATCTTTTAAATTATGAAAATCCAAGAACTTTATCTGATCTCTTAAAACCAGCATTTCACACCACGTGCTGAACTTTTCCGACCACACACTTCGGTCAACTGTGGAACAGGCCATCTTGTGATTTCAAATGGTAGCTGAAAATAATGGCCATCATCTGGAACATGTTTTTTAGTAACGAAATTTGTAAAATTGGCAAACTATTGTAAAGATGTGGCTAAATGAATAATTTATTAATAGTCCTCTGATGACACTATTTGTAACTAATTTTTTTCACTGAAAAAAATTCTTTATTCCTTCATTAAATCTGCCACAAAATTTCACAATTTTCAGATCATTGGTTTCGCTTGTACGCAGCTTTAAAATAGGGTTCTGTAATTATAGACACCGTGCATATAATCATGCCCAGGCAAACCCTGAATTTTGAAACTCTTATTTTAATTTTTTAAAAACCCCTGACATGAAATATAAAAAACATGCTTGTTCCAAGAAAGAATATAAAGCCAATATGACTGTAATGGAAAAGAACCACACAATTTTCTCAATAGAATTTGGAAGAAATGCTAAATGAAAGTGATGTTTTTCTGAAGTTTTTCATTGCAATGCCTGAAGCCTCAGTTGAGGAATAGCAAATTCTGTCATATTTTTTAATTCACGAAATATCGTCACTAATAGTGAAAAAAAAAAAAAAAAAAAAAAAAAAAAAAAGACAAAGAGGGTATGATTGCGGACTTACTGTAAAAAATGAAATTGCTTAAACAATTTGTGTGTAAATGTTTAATAAAACAAAATAAACATGAACATTAAGCTTTTTTTTCCCTTTTGTAAATTTTTGGATTCTTTAAAGATCACAAATATGCTTCATTATTTCTCAACCAGATATTTTATATTTTTTAATTTATACATGTCATCTGATGCAATGATCTGAAATCACCGATGTCTCGACGATTCTGGGTCTCAGACATTGCACTGTAATAAAAATAATTAATATCAAATGTGGCAGAAATAGTAGTTTTCTTACTAAGAATAAACCATCAATTTTTGGCTAATTGTTATGGCTTCTGAGTGGTTGTGGGGGAAGGTTAGCAGTTTTCTATCTGACCGTAAACAATATGTGAAACCATTGGCGCCATAAGGTCTGGTAGCACCTGGTGTGGAGCTTTCAACTTGTTACCCTTACTTCCACCAAAATTTAAACAAAATTTATTGAGGAAACAGTTTTTTTTATTCAGTTGCTTAAGTAAAGAACGCATTATGCTAATTAGTATTTTGTAAACAATTTTTTTATGAATGAAAAAAAGAAACAAGATGTCTTGGTACTTTTCTGTTATTGAAACCTGATTAAAAAATGTATGCATGCATACATGCTCACATACATTTGTACATTCATACATTTCTGAATCCAGTCCTGAAAACAGGATACATCTAATGCCTTTGTTATTAATAAGGCAGTTTAATATACAATGTAAGAAATCTCTTTTGATAGTGAGAGTATCCAGTGCATACCTTTTATTATAATTATTATTATTATTGTATAATTTAATGAAAACCTCAGTTGTTCATTCTCTATGCTCTAATTCACAACAGATACTTTTTGTTGATAGAATATCTTTTTTTCTAACTTTTTGTTCTGCAAATTTTCAAATTGGGTTGTCAAAATCAATACCTGTAGCTGCACTATTTTCGATTAATGGCAAAGCTGTTTGACTCATAGTGGATGTGAGGAATTTTGAAAAACTTCTCTCACATTATGCAACAGAAACATATAAAGTTAAAAAACTGAAAGGTAAAATGAGATTCGGAACAGAGTCGAAAACTTAATATTAAGCCACAAACTCTGAGAATCTTCTAGAAGTCCAAACAAGAGACTCTTATAGAGCTTTGGCAGCTTTTAGAAATCTGATTTGGCATGGAATTTCCGTAACAATACCATCTGCAGAAAGCTATTTTAATTGCTATAGCCACATAGCCATGTAGGGTGTCATGATTGTTAGAGCATATGATTTCCCTTCTCTCACATTTCATTTCATATGTGATTTCTCATGCAGCATTACTGAGCATTTTGCTCTCCATCTGTTACCATTTCTTATAATAATTATTTTTAATGTTTTTCAATGAAACCACATGTCATTTCAAGCTCGTGCATCAATTTTTATCTCTCTGCATACATTATTCTGTGAATTACTGAATTTTCAAATGTTAAGTGCCTTTTGGATTACCCTGTATAAGCACTATGTTTGCAACAAACACATTACTGAAATGCATTTGTTGGAAAACTGGTTCAGGGGATAGATACAGCCCACCAGTTTGAGACCACTGGTGTAGCCTACAGTACTACAGCACAGCTTAAACTGGCTTGTGTAGAAAAATTGACCGTTGCTGATTTATGCTATTACTATTTTCTGATATATGTGTAATATTCATATCTTCCAGATGTATTTTTGTCAAATTTCTGCCTTCTGCTAAGAGTAATCAGCCAGGAAAAAATTTAAGCTAACTGCAATTCCAAATGTAAATTTTCTGTTTATAAAGTTGTAAAATTTTACTTTATTATGTTTGTAAATTATGTGTTTAATTTTAAAATATTTTTCTTTGAATATTTTTAAACTAATGAATGTAATTACTTCAATGAACATTTATATCTGTTCTCATAATTAATATTTTATCATAAAATAGGTATCGAGCAAGTTTATCCATGGATGATGACATGATATCTATGGCTTCTGTGTTGGTTCCTGATTTAGTTGATGGTTACCCTAGGAAAGATAGACTTCCAAATGATGTAGTATCTAGTGACATTGTATTTTTCTGTCGCCATGTTTATGATTTTAGGCAGAAGAGGATTTTAAAAAATCCTTCATAAAACAGAAAATAAACTTTCGTGATAGTAGCTAGTCTAGACTTTTAATTTAAAGGGAAAAAAGTTTACAGACTACAATCTCTGACATAAATCTGCTACTTGACCTAAACTAGTTGTTTACATGTTGGTTTTACATGTAATAAAATTGCCACATTTGAGGTTGCCACCGTGTAAGGTTTAGTTTATACTGTTGTTAGTTTAGTTGATGATTCAAAAGAGAGTGGAAAATATTTTCTGTGATTTTCCTCATACTAACTGAAACCAAATACTGTTGTTGTAGCTTGAGGGTTTAATTAAAAAGCTGATGTTTCTTTAAAATGTGTAGCATCAGCTATGTACATTTGTAAATCCTTATAGCAGCTATATTTCTGCTATATGAAATAAAATTTAAATGCAAATTGTACAGAAATTGAATTATAATTATAGATTTCTTTCTTTATGTATAAAGTGCTTCACTAATTGTTTGTTATGATCAGATAATTTATAAATGTATTTTTAATTTTATCATACTTATTTCATATGAAAATATTGATTGTGATAATCATTTAATGAAGTCACTTAAACACTGTGTGTTTTTCTCTGTTATTATTATTATAACCAGAGCATTTGTAATTTTGCTCTGATGTAGTAGTTAATTTGATTGAACATTTGTTTAGTGGATTACTTCATTGTTAAATACTTTGTTGTAATCTTATATAATGTTTTAATGGTCATTAACTTATAAAAAAAAGTATTTTTGGCACTTGCACACAGTCACTGTATATTTTCCTTTTCATTTTTGAAATATTTAGAAGTTAAAATGAATATTTCATGTTTTTTTAATAGTGTGTTACTTTTAGTTTATAATTTTGTAGTTTGTTAAACATGTATTACAGACCATAATTGCTTCCACCTCAAAACGTGATTTTATGCATGAAAATACTGTTAAACCTCAATTATCCAAATGACGTAGCCACTCACCAAACTGGAAAGGGGGTAGTGAATGAAGATTCTAATTTTAAAAGTGTGTTTTACTGCAAAAACTTGGTTTGAAGTAGGAATTTTTTCTCCTATATAAAATCATAGCTGGTTATCATCAGCTTAAAATCATAGCCGCTTTTAGAATAGGTTTTATCAGAAAATGTAATTAAGGAAAATTGTAAAAGTATTTTAGAGTTCAAATTTACCATAATTAAATAAGTATACTTTGTTGAAAATCTGGGTTTAAAAATGCTCATATTAAAATCACATTTAAAAGTCCACCATAGTAATTGGTGTTGAGTAGGTTTTATAAAAAAGTTATTTTAAGTAAAATTTTTATTGATTCTTCTTAAAGTATATGCTACTGAGAAATCATAATAATACATTCTTTTTAAAAATTTTCATCACTTGAAAACTTATTTGATCTAAATTCCACCTTATTTTTACTCCTTTCGTAACAAAACTTTATTATATGTATGTTATACTTTCTTTTACTTTTTATGTAAGAGGAAAAAAAAATCAGGAAAGTTTTACATGTATGCTTCTTCAATGGAATCAAATAATAGTGTTCCAGTTATGAGTTTTGCAATTTAAAATCAATTGTTATATTTAACACTCATTTGTAATTATACAAATTATTAAAATTAGGTATTGTTAAAGTGTGGGCATAAAATATATTTTATGTTAATGTTAAGAAAATATATCGATTTTTTTAAATGGTAAAGTAAATAAAATGTGACGTCCTTTTGCAGAAGGTCTATTATATATTTTGCATGTACTAACGCTGCTCTAAAATATGATAGTGCCCTGTAAAATGACAATGAAGGATAAAAATTCTTATTAAAACAAAGTTGTAATAACATTAGTGAGTAATGTTCCAACCTCTTTAAGTTATTATATTTTAAAAAAAATTCCCAAAGTTCATTTATTATTTTGCTTTACTACAAACTCTTAAAAGCAGTTAGTTAAAATATAACGGTTTTAAAAATAAGAATATTTTTAATTCTAATGTTTTAATCAGAAAAGCAAGATTTTAAAATATCTTTCTTCAAGGGGAGAAAAAAAAAAAAAAAAAAAACTAAATTTTATTAATTTATTTGATTATTGGGGCAAATGTGGCAAACTTTGAGCCTCAAGAGGCTATAATAGTACATTAATTTGCTTTGTGGGAAGAGCAAGCGAGAATGTGTGTTTTGGTAAGATATCTTATGCCACAATTTGTGCCTCACAGTTGTTTGTGCCTCTGAGTCCAAAAGTTCATATGAGGAATGAAATGCATTGGACTGCTTGATATTAGACCAATTGAATTAAAATGGATATCTTGCAAATGATAACATCAAATATTTTGTGCAGATTTTTCAGCTTGTATGTCATTATGCTAAATTATCAAGTATATGGTTACACTCATGTATTCAAAAAATTATTAAGATAAATTTGAAGAAGAAAAAAAGGGTAGTTTTTTAGGGATTGTTTGTCTGCTGTTTAACAAACAAATATGCTTTTGTCAATAAATAATTTCATTCATACACATTCATAGATTTTTAGTATTCAGTAAAAGTTTTAGATAAGCCTAAACTACCATTTCTCATATTTCTCTACTGTAATTAACTCTTATGTAGAAAAACATATTTTTCTGAGATATTTCTTGTACGTTGAACTCAAAAACAGTTTTAACTCGTACAGCTTTTTATGTCTGAACAATCATATTATTCAGTGTATAATTTCTAAAATATTGTTAGGGGACAGGCTTTTGTTTTTAAAGTTATATATGTGTGCCTTTTATAGTAGTAGAGTGTCAATAATCCAAACTAATCGCATGGTATATGAATTACAAGTGATTACAATTAAACAATTTTTTTTAAATATAATTTTTTTATTTGGTATTTAAAAAATTAAATTTTGTAGCAAGCAGTTGTAAGTAATCGCTGAGGAATGTTATGTAAAATGATAAAGAGAACAAAATAATCTTTTAAAGCATATTAATTTTTTAATCTGATCTTTTTATATGTGTATTATAATACTCTTTTCCCTTTTATCTGTTTTTATTATTATTATTTTAAATTGTGGAAAATCTACTGAAATTCATTATTTATCTTTTCAAATGTTTTTTTACAAAATTTTGCCTATTTTTTCCCTTTGCCTGCATCCATAATTTATTGTTTGGGATTTAAAAACTAAATAAATAAAAAATTTCTTTTCTTAACCCAAAGTAAATTAAATTTTGAAATATATTATTCCTAGCCTATTTCCTGTCTATAGTGATAAAGTTCCCTGCCTGTTCCTGTCTTTAGTCCTTTAAAGTTTTAAGTGATAAGTAAATAAAGACAAATATTGTTTAGTTGACTAATGTTGGGAAAGAAATCACAAGAAAATATATTTAAAAAAAATGCAAATAAAAATAGTGATGATGCAGATGTATGTAGTTTGGATTATTATCATTCTGCTTTGCTTTAAAATTTTCTTACAACATTTATAAGTTTTATTATTTTGTTTAACACTTTAAAGTATTTAGACGCAAACATAGAGAGCATTAGTAGTTCCTACATGCATTAAAATATTTTGACTATAATTTGTGGTATTTCTTTCAAATTTTATGTAATAGTGTTATCATTTTTTGCTATGCATATTCGTATGTTTATGTACTTATTATGGTTTAAATGAAGTGAATTTTTTGCATATTATTGGACTATATCCAGGCTTAAAATATTAAAATGAATAATGATGATCCTGCATAATTAAATTTTAGTTTTAAAGTATATTAAAATGTTAATGAAATAAAATAATTTCATCTGTTTTTCACATTAACATTGTTTGAACACAAAAAAAAAAAAAAAAAAATATTATCCAGTTTATAACGTGTAGATATATTCGATAAAAATATATTTTCTTTAATTGTGCTCTTGAAAATAAATTTTTATTTAATAAATTACAGATCTTTTGCAAAGCTTTATAATGTCAGTTCTTTTTAAATTCAGTGAATGAACACCATACTGGTATGGATTTTAAAAGTAAAATCAATGTACAAATCAAGTGCACTTTTTATAATCAGATGTTTTAAAGTATACCTACAAAAGTTTTCTTGAAGATGTGCATGTGTAAATCCATTTTCCATAACCATAAGTATAAATGTCCTGTAATAATAGTTTCTTAATTTAATTTTGGACATCTGCATTATGGCATAATATCTGTAATTTGCAGACGAGAATATATTATCATTTGTGTCAGTCAAACTATTACATTTAGTATGAAACTATAGTAAAATGTCAACAATATATGTTCTGTACTTTTATTTCTTGATTTTGATATATATTTCTCTTATATTGTATTTTGTGGAATTCTTAAAATCATAGCTTAGTAGCGAGCATCAAACAAAAATTAATGTAGAATTATTAAAAAAATAACATATTCATTCTTATAAAATAATACTGTGTTTATGAAATGTAATATTTTATTTTTTTAATTCATAATCATGAATTTTAATTTAAAATGTTGAATCAATTTTCATATACATAATTTCATAAATACAGAACGCATTAAAATTATTAATATAGAGAGGAATTAATTTTTTTATTACTCCCATATATGTAAAAATATCATTTATGTAATGTAGCTTTTAGCAGAATTATATTACTTAATCGTTAAGCCTCAGATATATGATTTGATTCTTTTTTGTTCTGTGAAAAATGTCCTGTTCAAGGTGTGATATAAAATTGAATTTGTATACATAAAATATTTTCATAGTAGATTGTAACAAACTGCACAGCTTTTCATAGATATGTTTCTTTACAGCTTTGCCTAGTATGTCAAAAATGCCACTGGTGGCCTGTGTTTCTAGTGCAGCTGGTGAAGATTTTATCCAGTTTTAATAAATCTTCATTACAAATTTTTATTAACATAATCTCTGAAACTGACATGAGTGTGGAATATATATGAGCAATTAGTTTTGCAAGAAAATTTTGAGTATTTCAAGACTATTAAATGAATGGATGGATCTTAGTTTCTAAAGACAGAATGTATTTAAGAATCCCATATCATGCAACACAAGCAGTGACTGCTATTTGCAATCACCGAATAAAGTTTTATTAAAACCGATGTGTTTTGTTTTTATTTCAGTGATGTGCGTATAGCAAAAAAAAAAAAAAAAAAAAAAAAAAAAAAAAAAACATAATATTTTAATGAAATAAAATCATATATCATCAAAAGATTTAAAGTTTTCAACTCTCAGTTCATTATTGTGCAGCACTGTTTACATTTTTTTTACATTGTTGTACTCTAATGTATTTACTTTCTTTGTGACTGCTATATTTCCTTGAATTTTCTGTTTATTTCAGGTTTGTTATGAATTGCAGACAAAAAGATTTGAACTAAGATCATTAGATGATCATAGCCAGAACAAATTATTGCAGCTTCCAACCCACCTGAAACCAAAGCATTATATTTAACCATATATACCATTTTGTAGTTATCTCATACTCAGCTGTCCGTGCCATCAGCTGATTCTAATGACTAACTTTGTATAAATGAAATTGCTTGTTTTTATGTAATAAAGGAGTCATAGCTTGTAGGAAGCAATCTCAAGTCAACATGAAAGTCTTACACTGATGACCCATTTACATGCATGGGACTTCAATTTCATTTCAACGTTTGAAAATTCCTTCCAAAATTTGCTGCTGTTAAAGCTTTGTCCATACGGCTTTTTAAAATCATAAGAGGTCTAAGCCAAGCTTCATTACTAAGCAAGCAGACCTTGTTACATCACAAAAATTGGTTTAAGGATTTTGCTGTAAAGTTCTCTAGCTCTTCAACTTTCTACTAACTTGGTATAAGAAGGACAAATCAAGCAAAGAAAATGTCGGTTGACAGTTTTCCTAAATCAGCTAAACATTTATGCATATGCAACTTTCCTTCTGATTGGCTAGGGCTTAAAACTTGTGAAACAGGTGTGAATGGATTTAATGATTTTCATGCCTTAAACTGTAAAGCTTTTTGACAACAAAAGCATCCTCTAAACGAAGTCTTGAAGACTTCTGTAATTCTATGCTTCAACCACTACTATTGCAGAAATAGCAGTAGTAAAGCTACTGATCTACAATCCTATTAGTTCTGTACTTTGGTTTGCAAATGTGCAAAGTCAACTTGTGCTTTAACTACTTAAGCATATTACGCTTCACTTTAACTATTGTTTCTTTAACTACTTAAGCATATTACGGATCCCAAAGCGAAATTCAACTGCTTTCCTTATTTGCCGTCAGAGACCGCTTCTTTGGCCTGAGGTGTATTTCGGGTTTGTTTTAGTTTATTTGATTATAGCAAAGCACACGAGGGTCTGAGGGGAGGAATGCCCTTTATGGAGCATATCTGCCCGAGGGGGCACAAATTACATAGCAAAGTATTCTTGTTACGCCATTCGTGCAGTATTTCTAAAAATAGCTTTAAGCAGATAAACTGCTTTAACAGAAAATAATTTTCTGTTTGCTTTTTTTCATTAAGGATTTCACTTTTAACAGAAAGCGAAATCCTTAATGAAAAAGCTTAAAAATGTGTTCCTTTATATTCGTTCCAGGGAAATGAACTGTCCAGAAGTGCATTCACTTTTTTTGTCCAGAAGTGCATTCACCAGAAGTGAGCCCTCACTTAGCCCTGAGTAAATAAAGAAAGTGGAATGTGACAAGAGTATTCCAAGTTTGTGCTTCATTGAAAAGTTTACTGAAATTGTTTTGGAAAACTTTGGTGACTTTTCTCTTTTTAATTCTAAAAATAGTACTTTCTGTAAAATAAGTTTGCGTTCTGAACTGAGTGCAACATAGAGATTTTTACAAAAATATTAGCATAAATTCATGACAAATGTTTATTAATGTGAGAGTAATTTTAGTTATGAGGACTTGAAATTTATCTGATTGCACAAAATGGGTGCTTAAAGAGTAATACAATGTAAACATTTTATGTCATAAATGTGGAGTGAATGGATAGTTGTTAGAAAATTTAACTTCTGATTTAAACTTTGCTATTTCTTCCTGTGGCAGCTGATGTCCATAACATGAAGCAGGAAAGTGTAATGGTGGCTTGTGCTTTTCCTTCCGAGTCTCTTTGCCTTGAGAAAAAAGAAAAACAAATAATATCTTTTTGTGTGACACTGGCTGACATGAAAGTCTCTTCTCAGAAACCAAAGAAGTTTGTTAGTTGTCTGTTCTGTTTTCCGCTGCCAATGATTACTCCTATTCTGAGTTACAGACGAGAACTTTAAGTCTCTACCTTGGGCTTTGTCTCAATTTTAATTTTGTTTTGAGTGATCAAGTATTAACAAACATAATTGGATCTTATTTTCTACATTGTTTTGATTTACTACTGGATTTAAGGAATATAAAACTTGTTGATTTAAAAACTAACTTAAGAATTTGTAGTATCATTAACCTTCTAAAACCGGGCCAAAATTCTCATTATATAGCCTTCAGACCGGCACGATCTGAAACAGTTTTGCCCTCTCTTTGACATTTTCCTAATGAGAAAAGTCGTTATTCCCCCTCCATGGATGCAGTAAAATTTACATGTTTGTCGGTCGCTTACGTCCCATAGTAGAGGGGTTGCTAGATTTGCGATTTTTCGATGATTATTTTGCTTTCATTTAAATGAAGTTCTAAATAAATAGTGCATAAATAAATATGCAGTACTGGATGCATATACAGTGCACTATTTATTTAGAACAAAATGTATGCAATGTTTATATTTCACTCACTATTTCTGATCAATCTCGTAAATAATTTGTGAATTTTTTAACTTTGTTTTCACTCTTCATTTATATTCGCATATTTTCGTATTAGAAATTAGAAAACGAGAACAAAATTTCACAAAATATAATAAATACGAACTAGCTTTGTAAGTCTGCAGGCTGAAATGCAATTTTTAATAATGTATTTTCATTAACAAAATAATGGTAATGACTAATTTAATGAAAATAATATTTATTACCATTAGATGATTAGAATGAGATTCAATACAATTAGATTTTGAGATGAACTTGCAGCAATAATAAAGCTTTACATAACAATAACAGAGCTTTGAATCTGCTTTTTTCGATAATTTTGTTATTATAATATAAAAAAGAAAATCCGAGATACATTGGTTGCGTTTCATCATTCAACTTTAACAAATATTACATTGGACTTCTTTGCCTCCAATGTATATTAACAAATATTACATTGGAGGCAAAGAAGGTATATCTTTAACGAGAATTTTTCTTTGTAAAATTGGCTTTTGTTTATGTTAGCAGAGAAACAAAATCTGTGACCTATACATGCAATCATCAAAAGTATTTTTCAAAACAGTTTTAAATGTTCATGAAGAATTAATTATACGTCAATTTCTTTTCATAGGTAGAAATTTCGTCTAAAACCATCGTTATATCCAAAGGTTGAAGTCTATTTTATTTTCAATGAATATTCTATTTGCACATAATATATTTTCTAATTTATTTTAGAAAAAGTAATCTTTCACGTTTTCAAAAGAATAAGGACATATTGGGTGTTGACACAATGTAGTAAATCTGTTTTTCATATTTCTTCCAGTAATGAAAACTGGAACTCCAGTACCCTGGAATATTTTCAAAGCAAAATTAAGAAAACCATTTACACCAAATTTTGCATAAAGTATCATCTCGAGCATTTTTTTTATTTAAAGTGTGAAATTTTCTCTTTGAAAATATAAAAAATCATGAACGGAGCAAAATTAATTCATGAGAAATAACTTTGAAGTGCAATAATTCCATCGTAATATGAAATAGTGGAGAAAAGTGCAATACAGTTTATTTATTCACAAATAATCCCCTCATATGCATAATTTATGTGCTGTCGATTGAGAAATATGAGTTAGTAAGTAAATTAAACCGGTTATTTCAATACTTTTCCTTTTTCAATTTTTTTTACTGGCTCTTCAGTAGAGCGGTAAAGGTGGCTGAACACTTGTAGCTCGCTTGGGTTTGAATCCCGGCTAAATAGTTGGATTCACGGTTTTTGTGTAACGTAAATGCAAGCCAGCTTCTCTTAGAAAGTCCTCCGCGAAGGCATAACTCCCCTTATACAGGTAATTGTTGTGTGCTTTGATGTAATTCAGTAAGCGAACAAAATTAATCCAATCAATACCGAAGAACGGGTTGATTACATGTGGAGTTTTCCACCAGGAATGTAAATGCGAGCAATTTTCTCTTAAAAAGGTTTACACGAAAGCATCCATTCCCTTAAGCAGATAGCGTTCGCGTGCTTTTCCGTAATCCAATCCTAATTTTCATACATTTAGTAGTAAGTTGACATACACCTTATTACAGACAAAATAACAACTTTTTTAAAGATATTTTTTTTTATCAACTTGTCTGAATTCCCTCTATCTCTTGAGAGTATAAGAATTTCAGCAAATAAAACTGGCCAAAATTTTATAACATTGTAACTGATGTTTTGATTCAGTTTAGAAGTAACGTGAGCTTTACTGATATTTAAATACTTTTTGGCAGATCTCATCCTAAAAGAGGGTGTAAAGATAAATTGATTTTATTTAATTTACAATCAATGAAAATCATTGAAAGCAAATGAATGAAAATCAGAAAAACTATTATGCATACAATTGTCTCTTATTTATCTCCTGATAAATCAGACAAAATTGCCTGCATAATAGAAGCACTTTGAAAGAGTTGACAGTTCTTAAGGGTTTTATGCACTCCCCTCCAAAAAAAAAATGTCAAAATAAAATCTTATTATTCATAAGTATGAAAAGGAAGTAAACGATAAAAACGGTTTTACCTATTTTCTAGAAGGGCATTAAATCTAAAATATTAATCTATTCTTATTTGTTATGATTAAAAACATTAAATATGGTAAGCTTAAAGAGCGTGCAAAATCGCTGACGTTTTAATCATAGCAAAAGTCAGTACATTAAAAATGAAAGATTGAGAAAGAGATGGCCTCTATTTAATTTTCAAGTATATTGGCGCGAGACGAAACCTGCGGTTTTTGCCAAACTGATAAGAAGAGGGAAATAATGCGTAGCCAGCGGCTACTCTGAGCAGCGACAATGGACCACCCAAAGATCTACAGATAGGCGATTCTCTAAAATAGGGAGGGAATGCTGGTACTACAGCTGTACCATAGCCGGCGTTAGAGAAAATCATTTTCCTGGTACAACTGCTGTACCAGCCGGCTTCAGAAAGTTAACATACATTTGTATTCTATCAAAACAATTACTATAAATATTGTACATGATGAATTACTGTTTAAATATTCTTCACTGTTGAAGGTTCTAATCTTTATGAAACTGTTAAATATACACATACGCATGTCAAAAATTATCTACATATTTGTCATAACTTTCTTACATTGTGCACTTTGTCTTCTGTCCTTGTACATTTTATTGTTACACTGTTGTGGTAGTACTGTGAAAGTTTGATCTTAATTCTTCCATTTTTGTTCCTTCTGTTGCAGACATATCATGGCTGCTCCATTAGGAGTTTGCACCAAAGAGGAATAACAAGCAATGATCCGGTTCCTCTGGTCGGCAGGTGTCAAAGGTCAGACATTCATCGCAATATGGGAGAAGTGCACTATCATGCAAAACTGTGTTTTGACAAAGCGTTGACAGGTCCTAACATGAGTGAGCTTGTGTTCTGCAGTAAGCTTCTTTCTTGGTACCCACAATGCACAGACTTTATGAAAACTGAGCTCGTCATGGATGATTTGATGGGCAAAGCCATGACTGATATTCAAAGCAGATACTACCTCATCGATAGTGATTTGCCTAGTCATGTTTGACCCTTTGACACCCTCACCAGAGGAATCGGATCACTGCTCGTTGTTCCTCTTTGTTGCATACTTCTAGTGGAGCAGCCAGGATATATCTGCAACAGAAGGAAGGAAAATGGAGGAATTAAAATCAAACTTTCACAGCAGTACCACAACAGTATAAAAATAAAATATGGAAGGAGAGAAGACAAAGTGCGCAATGTAAGAAAAGTTATGACAAAAGTGTAGGTAATTTTAGACTTGCCCTCGCAATTCTATGCATTTCATTGAAATAATAGGTTTTCCTATGTCATATAAGCCTAGGAGATCAGGTCCGGATAGATAAAAAATTACAAAAAATGAAATTAAAAAAAATGGTTCCCTTTAGATCATCGCCAAATAACGGGTCTGGTAACCTTGAATCGGCTGTTTTCCTAATGTTAAGCAACCGTTTCTTTATTATGTGACCAGTGTATTTAGTTTAATTATATTGGATCTTCTTAGTTTAGTGATTCAGGCCTATATGTATTGTGCATTTTGAATCATTTGCATACTCATCACCATTCACTGACAGCTGGGTTTTGTTAGCAGACTTTAGACCTTGTTGTAATTGATTGTCTTAATCACTTCTACAAAGAAGTATGTCTGGTAAGATAAATACTGTTTTTTTTTTCATGATTTAGAGCCAAAGGGTGAAAAAACTACTATTAATTGCTGTTCAAATGAATGTTTAATTACTCGTAGCTATAAGTATGATGTCAAGTTTGTAAAATAATATGCATCTCGTTGAGCATAAGGATTGATCCCATGGCCGTGAGTGGATTTGTAGTGAAAAAGATGCTATTGCACATTATTGTAAAAGATGTTATATGGTTCGAGGAAACTAAGATTTGTGTTCTTGGTATTTTCATTTTTTTTTTCTTATTTGTGGGCATGTGAATATGGAACAAATATCCTTGTAAATAAGGTGAATGTCTGTTCAAATAAAACTCAGTGATTGGAGGAATTTTTGTGGAGGAGGATGTAATGGATGTACATGTGAAAAAGAGTGAAATGGCTGATGCTCCTGATATGTTTGTATGTATGAGAATATGCTTGGGAAAAGAAAATTTAATATGGGTAAAGTGTGGATGGATAGTGTATGTTTGGTGGATTGAAAGAGGTAATGGATTTTTTTTCTTTATAAGGTTGCAAAAAATCACGTGAACGAGATTTTGTCGAAGGTGATTTCTCAAAGAATCCTGCCTGAGAGTATGATTATCTCCAATTGTTAGAAAGCCTATGATTGCCTCCTCGGGAGGGCATGTGGAGCTAGATTAAGTGAAGTCTTTAGCATTCATCAAATATTTTTAATTCCTACTTAGCGGAGTTTATATGGCTCGCTGATACTGGGATCAGGAGGAGGAGGATCCGTTTCGGGACTACATGAATTGTATTTGCCTCAGTATCCGACACTGGTAGTGAGATGTAGCAAGAAATGCACAAGGTGAGTACTTTGGTTGTTTTTGTAACATATGTTTCCAGTGTTGTTTTGGGTGATAGAAATCTTGGAAACATTGCTGAGTGTAAAAAAAAAAAAAAAAATAATAATAATAATGCCAAAAATATCAAGGGAAATTCTAAACAGCCAATTTCAAATACTGCAAAGTCTGATGCATTTAAAATGATTTTTTCTGATACCATTTTTGTTTGCTTTGATTTATGTGATTATGGCAAAGCCACAAGGGCTATATCTGCCTAAGGTGGTGCCTTTGTGGAGGACGTGAGGAATATTGGTTCATATTCACGTTACTCACAGGGAAACCACTAAAATGCCTGTGCAGCCAGCCGATTCGTGGGATTGGAGCATCGGACCGAACTATCAGTGTTCAGCAGGTTTACTACTCGGCGAGGCCTGATAACTTTAAATGAGGCCTATGTACATCATGGCTTATTTTTATAAACATTACTATCTTGAAGACGTAAATCACATTTTGATGTTTTGTATTACATGTTGGGTTGCAGAATAATCATTTGCCTGCAGCTCAGTAATGAATTTGATATATTCTTTTACTACATGTGAAAACGATTTTTTGAGGGAATATTTAATGATTTATATAATTTTCATGATTTTTCTTCCCAAAAATGGACTAAATACTTTATACAGTTGAAATTTTGTTTAAGAGACAGTTCTAAGCTGATCCTTGAAGTAGGAGACAAATAACACTTATATTCACCAGTTCTAGCCCCATAGGTGTATGTGCTAATGGGAGGTTTTACTTAATGTTTTCCAATGCAAACATGATTTAAGAAACTAGGATCCAGATCCACTAATAAGAAATGTTTATTATCAGCACTGAAGGATACAAAATCAACTGCACATTTTTTTACAAAATACAACCTTTAAACACACTAATAAAATACTGTACATGTGAAGCTCTATAATATATATATTTATATACAATAATACTAATGAGTCAACACTGAGAAATCAACATGTGCGGAAGACGGCTACTTATTCACAAATACAGCCACAAGCTATAAATCTTATTTGCTTTATTACCATGCACAAAATAAAACTATGTCTTTCTTAAATTTCTAGGAAAATATAGAATTCAATAAGACATATTGTACTATAGCAATAACATGCTTCAACATTCATAAAATCTTTTCTAATGCAAACAGTTAGATGTAAAACAGCTATATTGAACATTTATGCACATTTGAGTTTTGAGCAAGCTTGATTTGTGAATCTAAAGTGATTTTATACTTTGATGGCATGTACACTTTGAATGTTTGTATGAGTATTTTGGACAAATGTTATGCACAGCTGAGTATGTGGACGTTTATGAAAATATATATAAACATGAGACAGGAATAAAATTTGAAAATAAAACAACAATTTTCTTTGTATATATTATTGCCCTGCAAATTGCAATACTGATTTTTAATTAAATTAGAAATAAACAGTGTCACAAAAAGGAAGTGTTAAAACTAAAAGCAAAGAATTTAAATATACATTAAATGCAACAGCTAGCCTACATCCGATTACAGAACTACAGATTTACATTAAAGTATCATAAAACTCCAGAAAAGATGAGAATTGTTGTAAATTGCAGAGTATTGATGTAAAAATGCATTAATAAAATCTATAAATCTCGCATATAACATTAAAAGAAAATTTATATATATAATTCAGAATTAAAGTTTTACTTTCAAGAGACAAACATCAGTAATTTAATATTTACTCTAATAAAGACGTTATTCAGTGAAGCGTTAAAATTTGCAAACTGCTGTAACCACTGAAACTACTAACATGAGCAAATAGTGAATATTTTTTCAATAAAATATAAATTGTTCTAACAGTTATCAACTCTTCATAAAAAATTTTTAAATATGGAAATTGAATAGCCAAAAAATTGTTACTCTCCTTCTAGGAACTACACAGTTATAAAAATCTTTCATCTTAATCTTTTATTATAAAAATCTTAACAGCTATTATTCATTTCAATTTAGATGCACTAAAGGTCATTAAGATTTCTAATTTAATTTGGATAAAGATATAAGACAGGTGTAATCTTGAGATCTGTTCAAAATTGGTAAACAATTAATCAGTCTGGTATAACTGACTTAAATTTGATTCAAAAGGACAATCATTCATTAATGTTCAATATGATGTTCATTAATGCTAAGAATTTAAATTTTTGATGCTCATTAAAACTAATTATATTTTGAAATACTCACTTTCTGAACCACACTATGTAAGACTACATTAATGGTAAAATTTTAATATAACATATTTCAGAATTTCAGAGTATTCTCTGCCTGCAAATATTGGAAAAATCAACTAAACTGGATATTGTGAATACTTTATAGAGGGTATGAGAAGAATTCTAAATTATCTCATATTCAAATCCTGAAAGGTTCTCGAAACCTTCTCACAAGAATATTAAAAAGGAAAGAGTGATATTAAAAGTTTCTAGTTGAAGCAAAATACTAACATAAAACCAAGTTTATAATAATACAGTTTTAAAACATGCCTTTATTTTTAAATTCAGAAAATAAAATGCATAATAAAACTCTCAAATCTTGAAACCTTTTTTCTCTGTGTGATATGAGGTGGGAGGGAGGGGGATCTTCGAGTAACATTTTTTTAAAAAACATTTTTACCACAGTTGTGGTACTTAGAGCAAGTCATACTTGCGATTTGGTTCCTAAAAGAATTACAGTTGTGCTTTCAATAAATAAATGGATATCTACAAAACTAATCTTTCATAAGCTTTCAGTTAAAACATTTAAGGCTTTATAAGTTAGGATTGAAAAGATTCAAGTTCTCTCACCTTTTCACAATATTTGCATGATTTTGAATGTCCCATTTATGATAGTTTTAACATATACAAACATCAATGAACATCCTTACTTACACATAACACAAGTTTTCTTAGAATGTAAAATATATCTATATATTTGTAAGTAATCTTATACCTTTCAATTTTAATAATTGATAAATCTATGAATGTAGGAGAGGAAAAAAAATAATAGCACACAGAAGAAAATTCTCTATACATATTGCACAAAATGTAAATGTAAATATAAATTTTGCTATTTCACGGGTAAATAAAAGTTCAGCAAATTACAAATATGATTAATTAAAATCTATATACAACTACAGTCCCCAGTGTATTGGAAAAAGAAGTTTATTTATTATTATTATTAGTATTATTATTACTTAAAAACAAATTTCTTTTTGCTATCTGCATGCTTTTTCGAGGAAAGGAAGAGAAGAAAAAAAATGTAGAAAATTTATCTTATCATTATAATTAATTCACTATAAAGAAATACTGTTTTCTGATAAGTATCTAGCAAAATAATATATATAATACTTTTTATGCCCACAAGTTATTTTATAGCAGAAATATTTTAATGTACTAAATGTTCATGCAAAAATTAACTGTAATTTTAAAATGGGTGAGCAGTTTGTCTTTTATTATGGCACACTAAAAGTGTACTAAGTTACACTTGTTACTAAGTTACACTAAAAGCATGATATTCATTTCACATAAAGAAAAATATTTGCATAGTTAAATTAGGAATTAATGAAAATTAGAATAAATACAAAGATACAAATCATAAAAGAAAAACTATTGATAATGAATACAAAAATTTTGTTGGAAAAGGAAGATTTTTCTTAAAAAGGACCACGTTATTCTCTTAAATACAGTAGCATTTTTTAAATTAACACATTACTGTTAAAGTTGGGATATCTCATGCATCTAACACTATTATTAAAAGCAATCCTGGATAAATGCTACAGATTGATTATTGAATACAAATATGGATTTTATATTGGACCAAATATTTTAAAATGAAAAGTAATGTAAATACAACAGCGTAGATTTAAATATAGTGTTTCATATCATTAGTCCTTGTGATTCATCAAAATTCTGTCTGACTTGCGTGTATCTTCGTAATCTGTTGTTACATGACACTAATGTGTGAGTCAGAAAAAATTTATTTATAATGTTGGCTTGTGAAACTGTGCAACTGGACTAAATTCATCATTTGATTGGTAGATACTTTTCACTGAAAATTAAAACTCATATAAGCAATTACATGCAGGCAAAACTTTATAAACGTTATTATCATTTAACCAATCTCATTAAATATACTTCAATGAAATATGCCTAATTTTAATAATTATTATCTTATTTAAAATTAGCAATAAAAGTGATTTAGTATAAATTGTAATTCTAAATATAAGTAGGATATATTTCCCCATTATTCAAAATTGGCAGTAAACAAGGGCAACCTTGGTATTATTACACATTTTACTAGAATTAATTAGTGCCTCAGTAAGTTAATCTTCGAGCCTCAACATTCAGTTAATTTTATGCACCAAAATATTTGCACACAATCTTTGATTACAATCAATTTTGTATCTACATCTAATGAGACTTCACTCAGATATATAAAATAAATTATACATACTATGTTAAACATTAGTAATAATACATATACAATGTTAATGAATTATGCATAAGTAATCATTCAAAAATTAAGATTTGTAGTGTATAAAACTATCTACTTCCTGAGTTAACTTTTCTAATTGCTTATTTAAAATAATAAAACAGCCATCACTGTAAAAATTAATTACATAATACAAAAGAAAATTTAAAAAAAATTATAATTTCATAAATTTTTTGTTAAATTTATGAAATTATAATTTCATTTCATAAATTTGTTTTGACATAAATTTATAAACAATAAATAAAGCAATTTCATTACTCTTTTGACTATATTTTTTTTAAAAAATGAAAGGAATAAGAAGGGAAAAAGGTTACAAACAGAAAGGGAAGTTATTAATTTGTTTTACATTTTAGCGTCTTCAAATAAATTATTTAGCAAGCTGCCTTAAACCAAATTTAAAATTTAGAAAATATTTATATATGTGCATGATGAAGCATTAGACATCATTTTAGAAAATTGAAGAAATAAATGCTTAAATAAAATAACAGAAATTTTCAAAATGTGAAATAATGAAAGGATTTTTTAATTTGACGGATGAAGGAAGCTGCACAATGTGCTGCAAATGAATTTTAATAAATTGAGTTAAAAGATGATCACCATGTTTCACATGATTTAAAATAGTTTCAAAATTGCATTGATGCTGAGTATTTTTTAATTATACCAAAATTTAGTTTAAAGCATGTTACATTAATTATCCGTATACAATAATAGTTATAAGGAAGGAAGCAGTTCTAGCATTAAAAAATGTGAAAATAATTCTAACAACTATCTGTATAAAAAGTTTACGGATTCCTTGATTTGTCGGGAGAAAAAAAAATATTTTGAATGAAACCATAAAGTTGTTTAACAAGTGAATTAATTACATATGTGCATGTGATGTCACTTAAGACCAATGCTTCAGATGCTAAACTCAGATTTTTAAATTGCTGGCTTGTTCAATCTAAATTTTAAAAGGTTTTTCTTTCTCTATATTATTATTATAGGAAAATGGATTAAGAATCTGAAACTCTATGGATCAACAACACCTATACTCCAGCACATATTAAGTTTGCAACCATTCATGCACAAGCACAGTATATAACACTTAGGGTTCTAAATCGTAATGTTAATGAAAATAAATTAACAAAAGGAACATTTCTAAAGATGAGCAAGTCAAAATAAAAGTCGTAAAATTTGTATCTGTGAAACTCTATTCAATAGCAGTAATGAAATTATTCTTTCCTTCTAAGTTATAGTCTAACTCTTAATATCATGGTAATATGTGGATTGAGTTGCCCAAGTCTTTAGTTTATTTAACAGGGATTCTTTAGAAATTGATTTCTATTTTCTACTATTCTTGGTTGTCACGTCCTAAGACCTTTGTATAAAAATGCTGCATTTTAGTGCTGAATAATTAATTAATTGTTGCATTTACCACAGATACTTAATTCTTTTTTATATAATGAAATGTTAATTTTTTTATTAATTTATAAGAAGTTTCAGTTTAAAAATTTTTAATAATCTGCAAAAAGAGATGAAGTAGAAAATAGACATTGTGAAAATATTTTTGTACATAACAAATTCAGTAAATTTTATGACTGCCACATGAATTAATATGAAATGATCCATTTTTTAAAACTCTAGTTTTTATTTATATTATTTTGATTTATATATTATTTTACATAAACATAGTTTCAGACTATAAATACGAGCTCTCAACATGCACATATGGGCACTTCTAGTGAAAAATAATGTGTTTGATTATTAAATAGTTTTCTCTCTCAATAATTACATGTACAAGAGCTTAATGCATGCACATATATATTTGTACTGAATCCGTTCGTGAAAACATCTTATTATGGGCCATTACATGGCATAAAAACTTTTAATTATTCATAAGTGGGTGACATAGATATGGCCTTGCAGAACATGACCATTAACAGCAATATGCAAAAAATTTAATCTAACAATTATTTCTAGAGGTCAACTGAACAGCAACTAATAGTTTTGAAAAGCAAATTGAATTGAACTTCTGATAAACCATATCAACATTATATGCAAAATTCTGCCACTCTTATAACATTTACTTTTATGTAAAACACAAATAGCTGAAATTAAATACATTTTCCCTCATACCATCTTTAATTAGGCAGTTTGGGAGATACTACTTCATGTCTACATAACACTTTTTTGATTTGATCATTTGCCTAATACAAATTTCAAGCACATAACGTAATAATAATTTTTAATAAATGATTGAAATATATGAAAAACTAAAACACAACAATTATTTAAATGTAACAATTATCGTAAAAAGTGAATATACAAAACAGGCTTTTTTTTTCATGCTTAATGGAATTAAAAATGGAGCCTTTTTTTTTTTCTATTGCAAAATTCAGGATATTAGACAATGCAGACAGACAAATAGATATGTTACTCAAAAGCACAAAAAATTGCTTCAAACATTCAATGACATGAGCAGAAATTTAACAATTAATTTTTAAGTTGCAATAAAAATATTCATATCACAAAAAATACTTTGAAATGATAGTTTATACTCTTAAATGGTTGTATATCGATCACCGGCACTCACTTCAGCTAACTGGACATGAAGGTAAGTCATTTCTCTTTTAGCTAAAGATAAGTCTGTTGTTAACTTTACTTCTTTTTCTTTCAACTTTTTTATTTCTCTCTGGCAAGCCTGTTGAATGGCAGAGGGAAAAAAAAATCTTAAGTTATAAAATAAGTAACAGAAAATCATGCAATTACAAAATTTTACCTAGCTATGAGGGAAAATAAATGGAACTGTATGAAATTTAAGAAACAATAAATAATAATGTACATTTAAAAGTGATTTATATTACATTGCTTAGTTAATAAAGCAAAGCATACGAGTGCATCTGCTTGACAGGAAGGCTTTTATGCAGGACTTTAATGGGAAACTGGCTCATATTCAAATTACACATTGGGAAATTAAAGGCAATTTAAAAATATCAATGAGATAAAACTTAATTTATCAAGCAAGAAAAGAATTTTTGAAAATGTGAGTTACAAGTTTTGTGCATTGAGATGTTTTTAGTGAGTATGAATTATTACATTTATTGGCTGTATAAAGTAATTGAATTTGTTATAAACACACAGTTATTGAACATACATCAATACTAAAAAATTTTCTCCTTACCAAATTATGTTTTAACAGATCTAGCTTATCACTTTTCAGTTTGTTCAGTTCCTGTTTGAGAACTTCCAATTGCCTGACTACACCTATTTAAGTAAAATAAATATTGTTGCAATTTTAAAAATACAACAACAAAAAGAGAATTCCAGTAATTAATAAAACTATTATATATTACAAATCTGGAAATCTTTAAAAAAGGAATAGAAGTTTTAGCTGTTAACTGCTGACAACATAATAGCAATACTTCCCCCCCCCCCGAAAAAAAAGCAAGCGTAAATACTCTGACAGAATGGCTATTAATAAAATGGATTGAATTATCTAATTATGAGAGCATACTAGGGCTATCTGTCTAAGGTAAAGGATGCTTTTTCATGAAGGATGTTCTAAGGGAAACTGACTCGTAATATACATGGAGAAAGCCTATTTGCCATAATTTAAGCCTGGGTCAAACTATTAGTGTTTAGCTTTCTGGTGAGCTCCAGAAGATGTTTGATAACATGGGAAAGAGCTTGCAGCATTACTTTAAAAAATGATGCATTACCAATGGTCTGACTGCTTCAGCAGAATTCAACACCTGATATTGACTTTAAATGAAATGTGATGAAAATAATAATAAGTAAGCACTACTGTTCATTAGTTGTAACCAACTGTATTATAATAAAGGCATTTGCAAGATATTATTGTATTTTTTATTTTACTTGTTTATTTTTTTTCCAAAACTTATGATTTTTGGTACAGAAACTGAGTTTTGCTTTTTAAACTGATATGAAACACTTATTTCCTCTTACACAATTCCTTAAAATACAAACTCTTAACTTTTATATGGATCGTGTAGAGCAAAAGTTCTTAACGAGTATTTTATTCATTTATGTTTTCAAAAATTAAAAGTCAAAAGTTAGATACATTTACAAACAAAATTCAAGAACAAATCCACACTTCCACCACTTTTCAATGCTTATTGCAGAGAGAAAACATTTACTCAGATTAAGGGAGAAACTATAGAATAAGCTACTTTTCCTGGCAATTAACGTGGGTTTGATCGCGCTGGGTACATCATACCCATTCCCTCCGTTTTTTCGCTGTTTCTCTCAAACGTTTTTTTAAAAATGAATGATTTTTCCTGTAGCTTCCCCCAAGGTCATAACCTTGGAAGGGAAGAATAATGGAAAGAGTTCTAAAAATAGATATCTTGTAATCGCCACTCCAGGGTCTGTCACACCCAGCACGAGCATTATTGTTACAACTCTAAGTACTGGTAGACGCATTGAAATAGTATTCTCCTTATGGCGCGTTTTTGATGATGAAGAAATGCGACATTTAAGAAATTTAAAGTCTTGAGGAAGGTAATGAGTTTTCCAATAATGAAGAGGCGGATGATGAAGCAATTTACGGTGGAACATGAATCTTCACCTGAAATAGAATCTTATTTAGAGGGCAATCTTTTTGATTCAAATGAAAGTGACTATGTTATAGGAAAGAATAATATAACAAAAATGAAGTAAAATGAAATTCCGTGGAAATGTTAGAATTTCTGCTAAAAATATAATTTGTGGATGTCATAGATGAAATGGCTGCAACGTATTCAAGGGCTAAAAAAAGTCGTTGCCCTACGGCTATTTTTTATTCCATGTTGAAAGTTGCTGCAATAAACGCAGGTATAATTTTGTTTTCAACAAAGAAACCACCTACTGGGCATTTTCATAACATAGTCTACCTTATTTTAAGAAAATCTGAAACTGGAAATATATGGCTTAGCATACTATTTTTAAAAAAAATAGTCATGTTTTTTCATACTATACACATACATATACATGCACTGTTACAGTAGCTTTTAAAAAATACCAGGAATAATTTTTTTCTTTAAATACAATCTTCATAGAAAACAAACATTCATCTTAACCACTTGTGCTAAAAAGAAGTGTCATGCAGGTCAAGATGCTTTTGTCTCAAGCCTGTGAGCAACGTGAACACCACGTTGATAGGCATTTATCGCAAAAATGAAAATAATGTGGTGCACATGCCATCTAACAATGAGATTGTTTATTTCTGAGTTACAGCTCTGGATTGCACTCGCAGACACGGAGCAGCGTAAATGAGACACTTTATTATCAATATAATAATTTAGACTACAAATTATTATATTGTAGCGCACGGCACCGCAACCATGAAGTTAAATCGCAGCGCAAGTGGTTAAAAATACAAAACCTAAAACCTTATGCATTTCCAGTAGCCAGAAAAAGAAAGGGAAGATTATATATATTACTATGATTAAAAAGGAAGATTTTTATAAAATAGATTTCAACGTAATGAAGTTACTTTATTATTCAGGAGAGCAACGACAACTGGTTATTAAATGTCTGGTGCAAATGCTATCGGATTAATAATTTCATTTTCATTATTGTATTAATAATTGCTCTATAAGAACCATGCAATTTTCACTAATTTTCTGAATGACAAACTTCAGAATGATTAATTACAAATATGATTCTTTTTTTAGAAGAAGAAAGAAAAAATACAAATTAAAAGAGACTTTAAAGAACAAATTAAAGTGAAAATTTTATATTACATGTATAATAAAAAATTCTGAAATATAGTCAAACTCCACTTAAAGAACTTCAAAGGACAGGAGGTCTGGTTCATTATACCTGATCGAAAAGATACGTCGATTATCTCAAAATGTGGGGGGAGGGGGGAAATGACTTATGAAGCATTAAAAAAATTATTAACATTGTCATGTCTACTACAAGAAGTGGAAAAACAAATCTAACTTAAGAATAATATTAAGATTTAATTACAATTGCTATTATGCACAATTATTAAATTTGCAGGCCATTTCTTTCCACTTTCATTACATGTTAATTATTTTACATGACAAATTACTTACCATTAATATGATTCTAATCATTCCCTCAAATTACACATATATAACTATGAATAATTTTTTATACATGAAAATATTAAAACAATAAAAATGAATAACCAACAATATTGATGAATTTGCCTTTAATTTTACTTTTCCGAGTACAAAAATAATTTTATTTTCTTCTGGCATGCTGCATATTGCAAAAAGTTTTATCCACACTTTTGTCCCAAAATTGAAATGATAGCATCACTTTTGATTCCACAGTTTACATGATTAAAATCTTATTAATTAATTAAATACATCCCAGCCTTGGCAGCATTGTGACACAGAGTTAAATTTACGTGTGTTGCGTTTCCTGAATATTTTCAATCAGCATCAGAAGAAGATTCTTCAATGCCAGCATTTTTCATTTTAATTTCTGTCACATCAACTTTATCATTTGGATCTTCACTTGTGGAGTATTATTATCTATGAGCTTTTCATACTTTTCCAAAATACTTAAAATTAGGTGATCCTATAATGACACTTTAAACTTCTGATCACTGTTTATCCCTGGATAGCTAAAACTTCCATCATAGCATTAACATTAAACACAGCTCAATCAAAGAATTTATAAGAAGTCAGACAGCCGACTGACATTCTTTGGTTCACTGGTCATGTACATCAATAGGTATCCTAAGATATGCTTACTGTATCATCACTCTCCTAGGATTAAGTTCATAACTGCTGAAAAGCCTTTGTTTAGAACACATAGAGAAGTGGGGACGAAGACCAAGAAAAGTAACATGAAAGTGTCAAAGTGTCTTCCTTTAGAAATGGAATGTTGTTTCTAACATCCTAAATGTGGATCATAATAAAGGTTAGTAAATTTTTTTTTTTTTTTTTTTTCCCTCTTAGAAATGGTACAAAAAAAAAATTAAAAATAAATCTATTCATGGGATTTACTTCATCTAATTTTCACACATATAGCAGTAAAAATAACATTAAAATGTATAAGAAGGTGGATACAAATAAAAGATTTGTTTCGATAAGCAGGGTTTGTTATAGTGGGTTTCAAATTTAATACTTTTTATTTTGAATAATTATGTTGCCAATAATCATATTTAGCTTGGACCAAATATCTGCACTTAGAAATTTAGAAATAACATATTACAAGGAAATGGATATATTTGAGTTTAATTATTAGATAATTGTACAACACTAAAAATGTGAAGTCATAAAACAGTCATTATTTGAACATGCTGATTGTCACAGCAAGTTTTAGGATTCTAGTCTCATGAAATTAATTTGATTTGACCATATATACTTATTACAAGTTAGCATGTAATTGGTGCCCTGTACAACAAGTTATCTCAAAGTTGGCAGCTAATATATTAATACATTTAAGTCACAAATTCAGTACGAACCTTTTCAAAAATGTCTGTGTATGTAACAACTAAATGAAAATATACTAACTTTCATTTTCTGCACACTGCATACATGCAGAAGGATTTGTTTCACCAGAGCTATATGTAGAGTCAGTGTTTAAATCAGTTCCATTCTGAACCTGCTCTAACTCCAGGCTATTAACACTAGAGGAATCTGATTCAGATGGTCGAGGTTTGAAATGAGGAGGTGGTGGAGTATCTGGACTGGAAATAGGAGTACCTGGACTGCTGTTGGTCCTGACCCAATGGGGTGTACCACCAGAATTAAGTGAATCTAAACTACGATTTCGGAATTCTCTGCTAAAAGACAAGTAAACTTGACTTACAAATAATATACACATACACTAGCATTTTAATTATAAAATGATGTTATCCAATTTATTTTAATATTAAAAATAGAAATATTTATACTTACAACAACAAAAAAATTATATAACAATAGCAGAAGGTAATTTACTTCAAATACATAAATCAAAATAAAAAATGAACATACTAGTTTTAAATTTAGCTTAAAAAAATTGTCAACTGAAAATTTTCCCTAAAAATTAATAATGATTTTAAAGTTTAAAATGTATTAATTTCAAAAAGCAAATTAACTACGATCCCAGTGTTTACATGAAGAGCTGCTAATTTCAGCACATACAGTCAGCATCCTGAACTGCAATGAGGGAAACATTGTGTGAGATCAAACTGTTGTTAACAATGGCATATAAAAATAGAGCCAAAGTAATAATATCAGAAGATGAATTATGTGCTGGAAATTGTCAAAAACTCTCATATAAAAATATATAAAAATAGAGCCGAAGTAATAATATCAGAAGATGAATTATGTGCTGGAAATTGTCAAAAACTCTCATTAGCACATAAAATTGTCACTACTAACATAAAAAAGCATTGAGAAAATGTACAAGCATTATATTTGTCAATCTGTTCAAAGAATAAAACAGAAAAAATGTGAAAACTAATTATTATGACAGTTTTTAAAAAAACCACTTTGCTATCCTGGAATTGAAACCAGATCAAACTACCAGAGTGCAACAACTTTACCGCTTGGCTCTGTTCTAGCATAGGACTTTACAATGAGTAAACTGTATATAGCAAAAAACAATGCAAGAGCCCTGAAACATCCTGGGTATTGAACCAGCTTCTGAACTTACATTTTAAATTCAGCCAATTCTTATTTGTTTCCTCACTTGAAGTCTAAGTTGAAAGGACACAATTTGGTTTTATAAAGCTTTTACTAGCATTAAAGTGAACCTAAAATTTAATATCGTAGAATGTTTCTCAAGACTGCTTCGATCAGCTAAATGTATATCAGCAAAAGTGTATAGCCACATAAATACAGAAATTTTTTTTTAGAGTAAACTTTTATCTAAAATACAAAAATTCCAGACTTGTCAAATTTATCTTATGAAACTAAGCTCATATATTGCAAAGTTATTGGTCTGTAAAATTTTAGGCATTTTCACTTTTATTTAAAGCAAACTAAACTATCCAGCTTTGCATGACATTTCTTGTTTTGTTAACACATACAATTATTAAAATCATGGTACTACTCAAAACATGCTTTATACTCAAGAACAATAGCAACCAGAAAGGTGGTTCATTGCTTGTTTTGTCCTTTATTATGGAATTTATAAACAATTTATGATACTGAAGCACAAAATAGAATTTTTTAAATTCATACTAATTTTGCTTTTGAAGTAATTGAATATATTTTGTTAAATATTTATGAGAATTAATGCCCTCTTTTTCAACTAACAAAACAAAATGCACAGTAAGTTATTGATTGGGGGAACAAATGTAGAACAAAATGATTTTTGAATCTTTACCTTACATGGTAATTTCACAACAAAAAATATTAAAAGTATTTCATAATGTGAAATTCAATAAGAAAAAACAAATAGCAAAATATTAGTTTTACCTCCTAGCTGAATTTGGAGATGATATTTTGAGTAAAGTTTCTTTAGGTACTTTAGAAACCTATAAAGAGAAATTATTGCTATACTTTCAGGTTGTTAGTTTATAAATTAATAAGATATGCAATATTAATAATAAGCATAATAGATAAATCAGCATATGCAAAAATAGTGAAAATAACACAATCAAAAGATGAAAGTAATTAGAAACTTGAAACACATGGTATAATATTTCTCAATAGAATTAACTGATTATCCCTTTTTTGCACAATTATAATTATGCTCACCTGGTGTGTAAATCTAATTAAAATCTACTGAATATGAAGCTAGTTCTTCAAAAACACCATACAAAGGGGATTTCTTATAAAAAACAGCAACAGTGACATCAAAATATATATTTGTCAAATGTTAAGAAAATGACAGTGAATTGGGAGCCCCATATTGTGCTATTTGTGTTGCAAAATATTAGGTTTAACAGCATTCTTTTAGGAGAAAGCATTCAAACAACGTATCAAAGTCATGATTTATAAGAGTCAGAGGCATGATGAGCAACTGATCACTTGGAAACAAGATAATCAAAAAGGCAAGTACAGAAATTTTTTGGTACATTCTGAAGCAAAATTTCTTGTTACCAGAACTAGGGTGGTCCTTGGGGGTTTTGGCCTTGCAGGATCACCTCTGGCATGGGAAACTGTAAAAACCATGTTATGGGCTGCTAGACAGCATAGGTCTAGGTGGATGTTGTTACTGGTGTGATGTTGTTAGAATTGATTCCAAGCTACTGATGATGTTCACAGAAGATTAAGTTAAGGTTATCAATATGCAATAACAGAGGATAAGAATTGTTTTCTGGCTATAATAACCTAGCAAAACAGAACAAAAAATGCCATTTAATTTCAAAAGACGCTTTTGAGTGCTGCAAGATTTGTCCGAATTATAGAAAATTCCAATCACTGGTATGGTTTATACGCAGTCCCGTACTTTGTGTTATCTTAATAGTAATAACAGATACTTGTCTTAAATGTAATTCCATAAAACAAAAGAACTGGGCTGATGAATATCATAGTTGAGGTGAGTTGATAGATGTGTCAAGTTCTATTTAGATAAACAAAAGTTCTGCTTGAAGCCTGATGATAGTTATGCTTTCACCTGGAAAGAAAGGCAACTAATATCTCAATTTTGTGTACAAAATGTCACAAAACTGAGGCAAAAGCACTGACAATTCGGGCAGATATAAGCAGATGAATGGAGCTGTACGTTGCCTGGAATGGCAACCTGTTGGGTAGAGGGTAAAAGAGTAAGAGATCTTTAGACCTTTGTCTTTGCAAAATAAAGCCTTCAGTGGTATGTTCCATTCAATGGATTTTAAGCTCAATGTCACAGAACTCATCTTGTGGAAGAGAGATTTTTGGAATCAAAAATATGAAATGGAGAATATATAGTCACTCAGCTTGAACTTAAAGGATGTCCATGGAAATATAATAAAGTTTAGCCACAGCCTCCTCTGTTAATTCACAAGCCAAAGACTGCTCTTATAGAGGCAAGGAAAAAATTGCCTCAGGATTTGCTGGATTTTATCAATGCCACACATCCTTTAATATAATAAAAAATTATTAGAAAAACAATTTATGCTTTACTTATGAATATTGACACATTTGAAAACAAATGATACAGACAGTAATTTTTTTTTCTTTCACTGAATAAAATAATTTCTCAAGTCAAATTTTCTAGTATTACACAGACAAGTGCAATTTTTTTTTTTAAAGATGACTGCAGCATACATATAGCTTGAAAAAAGTGACTGATCCTTTATTTTTCAGAACCATATAAAATTAATTGTTAATATAATAACAATTTATTGTTAATATAATAAACAATACAAAAATTATAATTCATTGAGTGCATCAAGTTTCCATTCTTTGCTGATTTACAGTTATCTCTTGAAAGCTTTTTTGGAGCTCTAGCATACACAATTCATAAATTCCATGCACATCAGAGTATGCACACTAAGACATACTAGATAAGTGGTGGCAAACCTTTTTGGGGCCGCGTGCCCAAAATGGAATGGCCATGTGCCATTCCATTTAAGATATTAAATTAGAATTATTCATAAGTTACCTCAAAATGCTTACATTTGAAAACTGGAATCAATTTAACAACGAAAGTATTAAAACTCACCGGCAGTCTGCAATAAATTTGAATTTGTTTCAGCAAACAATAGCTGCTTCAACTCTGACGTATTCTTTGCAATGTAACAAGTAATATGATTGGCCCAAACAATTGAGATGTCATAAATTGGATCAATAAATATGTATTATTTATTTATTATTGTTCCGCCTGCTTCACCTCTCAATGGGCACTACAGGTCAGTCATGTTATTCTGATCGCTGCAACAGCAACCTTTTTTTGGTTGTTTATCTTTTCAACCTTATTATTGATAAACAGATTTAACATTAGTTATTACTTTTGTTGGGTGCTCCAACTTACAATTTTTTGGGAATGTTAGTATAAAATTAGCAAAAAGGGTTAGTTAGTTTAGAGATATTTACATATATACATGAGTAGAGGCTTGCTGCCTTTTACATTTCGTCAGATTATCTACTATGATTATGTTACTCTTAGAATAGACATACTCTATGATAGTTCATCATTTCTACGGAGATATATGAAAATCTTATATCTAGGCTTTGGCCCTATGCCAGTGGCATTATGCGTTAAGTAGGTAAGTGAAACGCTCAAGAACAGACTAAAACACTTATTACGTAGTATCATTTTATAGTGATTTTTGATTAAGGAAGTAATATTTTTAGTCGCGTGCCAGCTGATGAGGCTCTGCATGCCGACTGTGGCATGCATGCCATAGGTTTGCCATCACTGTACTAGATTATGCATGAAAGTAGTGCATCAGGAGAAAATACAACAAAAGACATGGAAAAAGCTTAAAAGTGGCACAGATCTTATATAAAACTCAATCAGTTTTTAAGAACAACTAAGATAATCCTTCTTGTTCAGGGAGGAAATCATTTTCCTAAAATGCATTACTTTTTAAAGAAAAGAAACATAATATGCCAATCATCATCCATTTATTGATGAAGAGTTTTATACAGAATCCAGATCAATCCAAGATTCACCCCTTAGCTGTTAGGTTAATTGCTCTGTAATCTTAATGAGCAGACTAAAACAAAATTTTCTAAAAGCCCTAAGACTGTACTATGTTTGAATCTTTATATCCATATTTACCTACTTTAACACCAGGGATGTGGAAATCCCCAAACAAAATTTACTCTAAAAAAAGATAGTGACCTTGTTTAGTAGCAAAATAGAAGTTTTAAGAATTTCATTGTTTATTCAAATTACATTTAGCCTGCCTATTATAATTAATGATTCTATTGTCAATATTACTTTTGATGAGTGAAAATTTTGTTTAAACATTCATGAAAAACAATAATAGAATCATTAATTATGATGAGCAGACTATATATAATTTGAAAAGGCAATAACATTCTTAAAGTTTGAGTATTTCTTACAACATGCAATTTATTGATAAGAAAACACATGGTTTCAATATATGAAAAAGTACTACAGGTATTAACTTACATTTTGAGAGACTTCTCCTGCAACTATGGATGATAAACTGCTATTACTTGTACTTGAGGATGAGCGTTTATTCATCACAGAATTAGCCAAGTTAGTTTCAACTGAGTGACTTCTCACACGACTAGTAATTGCTTTCCTTACAGAGTCCAAAAAACGATTGCTGTTTCCATTGATTTCTGTTTTACCACTGTCACCAATAATACCACAGAAGTCTTGTGTTTTTAACCTAACTTCGTCATATAATGACTGTAGCAAGGATATTCGTGTGCGTTTCTAGGAAAAGAGTTCTGAAGTTAATGGAGAGAACAATTACTAAATTTAGAAAACATTACTGACATATATGCTCATCTAACTTTTCATACCTAAAGATTTTAATGCAATTTATGCTAATTTGTTTTCAAATGTAAATAATTACATCTTTTTAGGACTGATTAACATATGGAGAAAAAAGAATAGGATACTATTACATTACAATTTTAATAATGAATGCCTGGAAAAAAGTTAAACCTAAGAAAAAATTCAACATGCACAGCAACATGCTGTGGAAGTGTGAGCACAGCAACCACATGATATAATATGTTGCATTGACATTCAGCATTAAATTTATAATATATTACAACATGAGAAATTATAAATGCAGCGTTTTTTAGCTTTAATTCTTATTTAATGTCAATAAAAATTTTCAGTTCCCTTTCTCTGGATATAATTTTATGTGTAAATCATGAGTTAAAAGGAAAATAAATAAATAAATAAAAATTTTATTTTATTTCCTTAATTTATCTAAATAGCAAAAATGTGAATATAAAATTAAAAAAAAAAACCTGATATTTTACTGTTTAAAGCTTTAATCCCACATGATTTTTCTCATTTCAGCTAAATTAAAAGTCTATTTACCTTAATATATGCATTAAAAATGAGTGAGGATTAATAAGTCTAGAATTTACAAGAGAAGCATTTCAACTTATTTAAATTCTGAACAGGAGGAATGAATTTGTAGCCTGCTTTTAATCTGATATTTTGGATGTAAAGGTATACAAATTTCAAAGCTTCCAAGCTATCGTAATTTGTATTTACAATACATTTAAAAAATAACATGAAATTTTATACTGTATGATTACTTAAAAACTGTTATAATACAGCCATCCAGATAACACTATATATGTTTATATGTTACACTATCTGGAACATTTTCTGTAATTATTCCTGTGCGGCCTAAAAACTCTTCCAAGACTGATGGATTGTCTACTGATGACCATTCCTTTTCCCAATCTGATTAATTTGAATTCGGGCCTGAGTTAGAACTGCTTGAAATTCTTGGTTGGAAAAATCTCCTAGTATGTCGCATAATTTTATCATCACTAGAACCATCATCGGTAAAATTGCTCTTGCAGGAATAATTTGACAAACTAGCTTCAAACAATTCTTCATCATCACAAAATATTCTATCATGGTCCATTTTTTATCCCCCCAAAAAACACTGATAATTCACAAGAAATGAGTTTTGTTGCCTCTCGCGTTTTATTAAAAATCTGCACAAAACAATTTTAGTCATTTCCTACTTAAGATACGTTAATACAGTTTTCTTTACATTTTATTAATATTAATAATAATAACTATCAACAATATTTAAAAAATAAATAATTGAATAACAATAAAACAAATATTATTTTACTTCAAGTTTTGAAAATTTTTCAGCTTTATAACAAGCTATTTCGGCATTGATAAGCTTCGTAAGAAGAAATTCTCTAAATTCCTCATTTTTTGCAAAGACAGCAGGATTAGGCAGGCTTGGACCAAAAACAGGAACACCTTCTCGAGCAGTAACAGATACTTTATATCTGAAATAAAACAATGCATATTAAATTTAAGTCATGAAAAATTTCAGCAATGCAGAAAAAGGGCAGAAGGGGAGATTTAAACAAAAAAGTAGTTTTTTGATTATTTTAAAATTTCAAGGTGGAACCTTTCAAGGTGGAATTTTTTCACAGTCATATATGAAGTTCTGTAATTATTACCTTATTTTGTATAATTTGCTAATTAAACAGTTTGTATAAAATTGTGTTGTACAATAATTAGTTTCACAAATTTAAATTTGTTTCCCTTTGCAGTAATTAAATATAATAGTTTATGCAAGATAAATTATTTTAGGTAGATATTCTGATTTCTCATTAATATAATCAAATGGAATAGCAAGTGCAAATTTATGGGTTATATAAAAATTTCATTGCTTACCTATACATGTTGTATATAAAACCTTTCTTAAACATTCAATTTCAAAGCACATTTTAAAAACTTTAACTTTCAATTAAACTGCTGATTAAGATACATGTGATACAGATACTAAATACATTAAACAAAACTGTTGTTTTTCATTTTATTAAACTTGTATTAAAATTACAAACATTACCATAAATATGCACATATCGTTTAGAATGCATTAAAATATCATCTATTATTGTTCTACATTTAATTACAAAATTAGTTTTTGAGGTCCCACCTAATATAAAAAGAACATACCTAACATTTGGCGTTAGAGGATCAACAGCTTGAACAACAATGTATGAATGTAAAAAGTGAGAAGCAATCATGGAAGGAAGAAAAGGCGTATTGGAATCTTGAAAGACTATAGCTACAATATCATTTCCTATATGACGTTTCCTTTGAAGCTGAAACAAAAAAGCAAATTCTCATTTATACAATAGTTATTCAAATAGTTATTGAGTAGAATATTTTTCATACTTTAACATGTGGTTCAGTGTAAAATTCTTTCAATGAGTAATGTTAAATAAAAGAATGTAATTTTCGCTTGAAAAAGCATTGTATTTCATAATATCTTGATGATTATTATTTCAAAAAAAAAAAAAAAAAAAGATTACAGTATTTTTCAATTAACAACTTTAGTAACATGCTACAAACTAGATCATAACAAGCATATTAAATTTTCCATCCATACCTGTTGTGAATCTCCTTCTGTAAAAGGTAATAATGTAGAAACATGAAACATTATTTCACAGTTTTTAAACTGTGTGTAAACAGAATCTTCTCCTGTTTGTCCATAGTGTGCATCAAGACCACCACGAAAACTTAAAAAAAAAAAAAAAAAAAAAAAAGAAAGAAAGAAAGAAAGATACATTTAACATAGAGAATGGAGAACAATATCAAGCTATCAAATAGTCTTTTATCGTTAAAAATTATACAAGCCTACAAAATTTTAAGTCTGCGGAAAATTTCAAACACCTGAGAGAGGTATTATTGTTTTCAGATATGATTAAATGCTCTTTGCTACACATAAAAATCAGAAATATAGCAAGATATTGTTGCCAATTAATAGTGCAGGTCTTTTATTTATTTTTGATAGCACAAAAGCATATTGGATCGTTAACACAGAAAGGAAATAATTTAAGTAGTTATGTAATCTGTTTTTCTTAATAAAGTTTTGGATTTTCTCAGTAACATTTTGTAGCATTATTTTATATGTATGATGAATAAAATAATACTTTTTTCTAATAGTTTGAAATATTACACTTTTTGAAGCTTTCAGGTTCCACATTAGTTTCCATAAGTTTTACAGAATTTATCAGTTTTTTAGGTGTTAAATCTGAGAATGAGCTATTTTGTTTAACACACGCAGTTTTACAGCTCTTAATCTTAACCCTTTCTTAATTGGTAAATATATTTATGTAGCCTGCTAAACTAAAATATTGTTGCGAACGTACGGGTTCATTATGAAATGAATGCACAAATCCGATGAAAAATGAAGAAAATTTATTATTAAAAAAAATTAAACCAAAATGCTTAAATCTCCTCAGATATTCGAGCAATATTACAATATCTCACAGTAGTTATCTTTTAACTACTCAAGCGTTCAACAGAATTTAATTCAAAGCTAAAGGAAGCTAATACGCGAACTCGCTACAATCAACAGAGCAGTTTTCTAAACAAACTCTTAAAACAACAACAAACTAAGTAACTACAACGAACTGAGAGGTTTTCCTCCTTTTTATAAGATTTTTAAATCGTGCGCGAGAACTTTCCGGAACTTTTTCGAAAACAAAAAGAGATATTTATTTATTAAATGTTAAATGCACGTGCTCTTGTATTTTTTATTTTCCAGCTTAGCTTTTCTTTAATATTCATCACGCGCTGCGTTGCGCGGGGAATAAAACAATTTAATTTATAATTCAACTAACATTAGCTATTTAAATATGAAATCCGTAACAATATCAAAAAACAAATCACACAAATTACTTCAGCAGACAATTCTGTATTGTATTTCAAAGGAAAATATTTAAGTTTATACTCATATGAAGTATTTTCTAAAACATACTTAGGATTATCTATCCATAATTAAATGAAGCATTTTAAGAACTGATACAAATAAACTATGAAGCTGAGATTAAATTTTATTATATTGAAATAAAGGCCAAACTCACCATGTTTCTTTTACACTTTTTTTAAACAAACAAACAAATTGGAGCATATTTCACAAATGCTCAATGTGTTCCATCTTTTCTAATCCAGCAAACACCTGTAAGATAATCTTCTTTGTCACCCACCCATTTTGCTAATATAACATGAGCAGCTCTGTATAGATGATGTAGTTGTAAAGATCTTGGAGATCACACAGGAGTGGAATCAGAAAGACAGTATGCTTGAGAAATTCCTGGATAGAAAAATCACACTGAAGATTAAGTAGCCCTACATCATCTCCTTATCATGTATGTTTTATTCCCTTCAGCAAAAAATTTTCCTTTTGTTACTCTTTTAACTGACCTCTATTTCTGTAACAAATTTAAGCAGAAAAATGAGCAATGCCCTCACCAGGACTCGAACCTGGACCTCTCAAATATGTGCCGAGTGTGCTAGTCATTACACCATGAATGCATGCCAACTAGGAATTAGGGGACCCAATTGCCATATCCTGATGGTGCAGAATCATTAACCACCATCTTTTAGTTTGGGTGTCACTGTAAGAGTCATTGGGTTATTTAGAAGCAGGAATACATGAAAAACATGTAATGCCCTCACTGGGACTCGAACCTGGACCTCTTGAATACATGACAAGTGTGCTAACTGTTACACCATGAAGGCATGCTGAAAGGAAGGAGAAAATATCTTATAGAGTGACTTCACTAATTTCATTAAACTGTGGCATAGTTAGCTTCTCAGTATGTATAAGCACAGCACATTCATTTCAATACAGGTGTGGAACATAATGTAGGTCTTGTATTTATATTATTTGACTTTATTGTTCAGCTCTGTCCAATGTCTTCGGGCAGGTGTAGAGAATATCAAAAACGACTGTAACAATGGACAGAACTGAACAATAACTTCAAGTACTAGAAAAATAAGACTCAAATAGTGATTTTGTTTCATACCTGTTTTAAAATGAATGCACTGTTTATTGACCCGGTAATGCACAGATACCAGGCATACCAGGAAACGTTGATATAATTTAGCATTTGTGAAATATGCAGAAAAAGCTTAGTTAGTTTACAACTATTTAAAAGTAATAAAATTTGGCGACACTTGTGCAGTTTATTTGTTACGAATTCGTAAAATGCTTCATAGAAATATGAATACTCCTGTATTCACAAAAGACACAAAAATGCAATTGTTTATGTTAGGAAAATGTTTAGTTAAAACACTGTAATAGACTCTGCAAACATTACCACTGCTTATTTAATGCCTTGCTATACCTTTCCATTTATTCAGTAGCAGACTATAGTTCATACAACCTTAGTAGGTAGGCATGGGCAGCAGTTTGATGCAGATATCACAAAAGTACAATTGTAGAAATAAAGCAACTGGTATAAAATCTGACTACAATCAAACATTTCCATATTCTTTCTATTATTCATGATTATAATTCTCCCATTTTTTTCTAATGCACAGAGATTTGTTCTTCTTATAGAATTACTAATTTCTTTCCTTTATTAATAAATATATTTTTTGCAATGACATTAAAATTAATTACATCAACACTAAAGTGCATAAAATCTTCCAATCTAGAATTGAAAAGAAGAATTTAAACATCAATCAATATCTAGCATTTAATACTTCAGGCTTACTTCTTATAACATTAATGATATAATAATAACAGGATTGAAAGCATTATTAAATAGTCAGCATTTATTTTATGATTGATAGCAAATAAATTATAAAATAATATGAATTTTATCAAAAATAAATAAATAAATACTTAAATATATATGATCTTATATAGATACCCTTTAAAATCTTTTAACTTTATTCTATTTCCTAAAACATCAAGAAATTCTTCCATTGCAGGACTGTGTTTCCTATTCCCAAATAACTCTTCCTCAGTTGTCTGTAAAAAATGAAAGCAGAAAATACTTAATTTAATTTAATTTAGTAATGTATCAAAATATATCATTAAATTTAATAGCTAATACAGTACAAAGTCCAAAATCTGGACAACTAGCATTAATTCCCCTCCCCCCCCCAAAGAAAGGGACATACAATTAGATTCTGAGAGTACAGTCTCGCTTGCAAAATGCTTTATGCATAAGCAGTAAAGATTTTTTCATAATAAAGAAAGTCCAGAGACTCCTTATTTCCTCTCATTATTAAAAAAAATTACTTCAATGTTGAAGAAACATAGCCTTTTAATTATCCTAAATCTGTATGATCAATAATTTGGCTCTGTAGCTAACTTTTTGCTTTGTACACATCTCAAACTGAAAACCTCTGTCAAAGTTCATTGTTGATTTTACACCTATTGAAGAACAACTTAAAATTAATGACACCTTGAGAAATGAATCATGCAGCGATTTCTAAAACAATTTCTTTTAAAAATATTATTAACTCAATAAATACCAAACAGCATGGCAACCTTTGATATTAACATCACATTTGGTAATGATTCAGACAACTGCACTGCGAAATTGACAAGGAGAAATTTAACAGAAATTTCCTTCCATTTGCAATAAAATGGCTTTTGTAAATGACATTTGTATGCCAAAAGATTATACTTAGTGCTGTTTGAATTAAGAATAGCTGATTTGTTGTATATGTGGAAATTTATTTATTCAGGTCATAGCATATGTAGGAAATAGATGTAAGGATAATAAATAATTAAATTAATATAATTTGAGTTTAAGTCAGAGCACAACAGAAACTAGACAAAATTTAGTGGAAAAACACATCTCTAGTTGCAATTCTCATGATATGCCAAAAGTGTACAGCATGTGCTTAATATTCTAATAGTCATAAATCTGAAAGTTTTCAGATATCACAAATAACAATAAAAATTTTCCAATTAATGAAATTTGTGAAAAAAGTGTGGATTAAGTGGTAATAAATGAAGACAGAAGTTTTCTATTACATCGAGAAGGCCCCAATCACCAGTTAACAAACAGAGACAACAAAATCTGTAGTATGGTTTGATCAAATTCAAAAAATATTACTATTGATAGTAAAGAAAGTGACAGAGAAGTTGTTGGGAATGAAAAATATTTCATTCATAATTTAGTGGGTATTCTTGACACAGCAATTATAGGACATGAGGAATGAAACTTCGAATAAGAAATTATGTCTATAAAATTAAAGAGTATAAAATTAGTACAGAAAATGGAACAACTTACGTTGAAAGCCATGTTTAATAAAGCAAACAAATAAAAACTGAGGTTCAGCCCCTTTTTAAATTTTGATTTTAAGGTCATATACCCTTCATTATTAAATAAACGACCATTTCATATTTTTAATTTTATAATACATATATCTCATCTTACTAAATTTAAACAGATGATTTAAAATGTAACTATCTAAATGTAACCATTCCTTAACACTGGATAAGATACTGTGCAGTGAAATCTTGGTCTTCAAGGTTCGCAGATTTGACCTTTTGTGAATTTTTCCCCAGATATTTATCAAAGATATAATGTATCACCTGCTCCTACCCATTGCATTACCAGAATTTCAATAGTAATTACATCTGCTGTGGATATGTTACTGTTGTACATTAGCACAAACTAATTTTAAGGTAGAAATATGTCAAAAATCAAACTGCTTGCTTTAAATTAGTTTGTTTCTTTATTTTACCAAATATGAAAGTGCTTTTTTAATTACAAAAATTTATTTTATTACTGTAACATATCTACAGAAATATTATGCATAGAAATAACAATGCTGAAGTTTTAAAATTGAATTAAGAAATATAATTTTTACTTACTTGACCAAACTTTTGATAAATTATACCAAATTTAAAAGTATTGACTAGGACATGTTCATCATATGCCATAAGCATTTCAGAAGCCTTGAAGAGAGAGGAAAAAAAAATCAAATTAACAAAAGTTTCTTATCAGAAAGTTGAATTACATCTTTTTATACATATATATATATAACAATACTTGATATTAATGTAAATACAAATCTACCACTTTTTGTTTAATTTTCTATGTCTTAGATTAATGCCACTAAAACATTATTTTTAAATATGAAAATAAATACAAATAATTGAGAATGCATAAATGAAAATTATCATTAACTGATTGATTTAATCGCCTAATAAATTTTTAATTCCATTAAATTAAAACTGCTTCCAATGTTATAAAACAAAAGCAGAAATGGCCCTATAAAAGGTCATTTTTATGAGTCGTTCAGACATACATATTTTTAATGTCACACAACATGTTCAAAAAATAGTCATCACCTTTATTAATGGATCTCTGCTTCTGTGAGATAATATGGAAGCATTTGCGGTGTCGTACTCTGCATGTTGTGTAGAATCCTTAGTTTCAAAATCTCCTAACAAAATTCGACTGTTTGAGTATTAGTATCATCTGCAGGAATGACAAAGTTGTTTTGATGGTTTACAGTTCAATGATCACAAAAGGGAACAGAATGCATACTAATCAGTACCAAATACATTTCCAATAAAAAAAGAGCTACTCAACATTTGAGATATTTTATTTTTCTCTGACTCTACATATCTTCAGCAACTTTTGCACATATTTTCTGTTGTTGAAATATTTGTTCCAATGCAAGATCAGTTTTCCAGACTCATGTCATAAAAATTTGCCACCTGAGAGGATAACTACTTATGAATTATTGTTTTCACTTCTTTATGAGTTTGGAAATGCTTGCTAGAGAAGAATCTTTTAAGACGTGCAAAAATGTAGTCTATCAACAATAGGTCTGGGTTATAATGGGAGATGATCCAACTGCTATTAGCCAAAAGAACTAACAACAGCTAAGCAGCATTACAGGATCTTAGCTTGTTGTGAAACAATGTAACTCTAGAGATGGTAAGCAGCAGCATTTTTTCTGGACTTGAGACAAAGTTTCCTGAAAGTATGGCAATGTGCTGCAGTCTTTTTGTTGCTCCTCGCAGCATGAAGTTCTACTGGCAAAACAAAACATCTCTCATAGAATACAGTATGCATAACTTTGAGAGCTGAGGTTGTCTAATTGAATTTCATTCTCATTGCAAACAATTTGCCTCATCATTTTACTAATTTCTGTTTAGATTTAGGGAGCACATGAGCCCCCATGTCTTGTTCCCTATAACAATGTACCTCAACAATCAATAAGCTTTCTCACAGTACTAGATTGAAAATATCAACGTGCTGGCTAATCTCTTTGTGTTCCTCGGTAAGCATTCTTGAATCTCACTCAGCAGAACATTCTGTACACCAAGTTTTAAGATATAAATTTTAAAAGAGCTGGCACTAAAACTCAAGGGAAATTCACTGACTGCATAGAAACGGACAAGCATCTGTTTTCTTAAATCAAGGTGTCGAATAATGCACAGGGTCATTGGCTTTTATAAACAAACAGTCCAAGCAAAGGTGCTTCATATATATTCATCTAAAACATCCTTAAACAACTTTCTTCACTAATGAATATTGCCATCATTCAGGGATTTTTAGATCAAATATTTTAAGATCTAATTGAGTTGTTGCTGGTGCTGGTATTACATGTATTAAAGAAACAAACAGCTGACTTTATTTAACAGGTGTAAAGTATATGTCATGAAATCGCCAACTTGCAGTATACAAAATGACATCTGTTTGGGAGCAAAGGATGCTAAAAATACTGTACAAATGCAAAATTATGAATATGAGTACTTTAAAAAGTAATATCAAACTGTGCTTATTTAAAAAATATCCTATGTATAAAACTATCAGTTACTGATAATAAAAAAAAAGGAAGCAAAAAACTTTTAATTTTATTACTATTTCAAATGCATCTTTTACAGAAGGATGTATAATACATTTGCTTAAGAATACCTGCATGTTTAAAATAAGTATGTTTGACTTTTGTAATATTTAATAAAGCATATATTGAAAAATATAATAAAATTCAAACAATAAAAAATTTTAAAACATTTAAACAATAAAAAACTTACTCGAGGAAATATGACAGGGGTGAATTTTTCTGTTGTAATATCTTCACACATAATCTATGAAAAAAATGAAGAATATTTCTTATAAACTCATACAAATCTTAAAAAATTCATATCATTCTTCAGCTTTAAGTCAACATAAAATCTGAATTACATTTTTACCTTTGATATTTGTACTGGACTTAAGAAATTTGTAGGAGTGTGACCAATGTGAAATACATCATGCAAAAGTCCATCTTTGGTTCTGAAATTAAAAGGAAATGCAACTATTCATTTTTGAGTTTTACAGATAAAATGTCAAGGTGAAAATTAAAAAAAATATGACAAGAATACAAAATAAGAAGCATATAAGACAAGACATATAAGACACTTCACATATAAGACAAGAGAGCAAAACAATGCTTTAACCCTGATGGTAAATTCAGTTATCTTTCGAACAGAACACAACTGTACGCAATCTTGATAAATGATGACAACAAAAAGAAATCCATCTCCACTGAGTATAAGTAGTTGAAATACAAGCACAAAATATTTTAAATATGACTGTTGCATTTTGGCATTTTTAGATTTTCTTTTGATAAATTTACAGCCCAGTTGCTATGATGCTCAGTGGAAACTATTCCTATACCTGAAACATACAAGTTCAAATCCAGAGTAAAATGTAAATATTTTTCATTATCCACAGCAGTTCAGAGAAAATGCAACATTAAGAAAAGTAATAAGGGAGATCTGAAATTTTGCACATAGGTCAGTTATTATCAGTGATACAAATGATTAAAAATTCAGTGTTGAAATACAAGTTGAAGGACATAGAATGACTAAAATACAAAATTTAATCACTGTTCTGATAAAATCACCAGTTATTGCAATGAGAGTATATCAGCATGCCTCAATATGCAATGGAGAGCAAACAAACATCAAGTCTACTAAAATTGTTAGTCACAGATTCCTACACTAGAATTTGTAACTTGGAATCCAATTTTATGACTTTCATTTATCTCATACAGCTAATCAGCAGAATTAACACTTAAACGACTGCTTAGTCATCAGGATCGGAAGGGCAATCAGAATGAAGATACTGGAATTGTGAATGGGAACAAATCATCATATCTAACGAGTTTAAATAAAATCTGGGAATTCACAGAGGCCAGACTGTTTCTCAACACCACACAAAATGCCATCTGAGAGGTGGAACTGATGTGCATCGTACAGGTTCTACCATCAGGGTTAAAGCATGGGAGTGCTATCATTTCATTCACGCTCCCCTTGTCTACAAACTGAACTATGAATAGCCTGTGCTATATCTGTCAGCTATTGAACCAGAAGTCTTAACACTGCTACAACACCATCTTGGAACCACATTCCAACAGGAAAATGCTATTTCCCATGTTATATGCATTGTCCAACATTTCTTATGTGACCATAAATGTCAATTCTTCCATGGACTGCATGGTCACCTGAAGCCCTCTAAAAATTTGGTAGCTAAGAAGAAAGGCATAAGTTATTGAAATACTATTACCAAAGAGGCATTCTCAATTCTAAACTGGAATGGAGCTGGATAATTATCAGTCCAAAATTTACAAAAAAAGAAGCTTAATATTTATTTGTTTACTTTATTAAATATTTCTTTCAAAGCGGGCATGCATAAAGCATACATTACGCATAGCCGAAATTAGAAAATTGCAACCAGAAAACTATTTGATTTGTATTCATGATATTTATAACGACAAGGAATTTGATTTAAATCATATCAAAGACGGAGTACATCGAGATGAAATACTACATATTATAAGCCGAATAAAATAAAAACATCTGCCCTGAAGATAACGGTAGTGCTGACAGATCAACTTCCAGTTCATTAAGCGCTGCGACGTCCCCCCCCCCCCGCAGAGCAGCATGAAATTGATAAACAGATTCTGGAACAGAACAGTTAGATAAACAAAGGATATGCCTTTATCCCTTTTTTGTAGCAATTCCACTTCTTGTTTGATGGACATCGAAACATACTTTCGTTTTGTAGATCCTTTGGGAGCTCCAGCATCAGAAATTCTATTTGACATAATCGAAAGTTCAAGCTTACTTTTATAAAATTGCTCTTACAGTCTGCAAAAAATAATAAGACGGATCCAATTCGAAGATTAAGGAACAATGCAATCATCAACATTAACTGAAATAGATAATTAGATAATTTTAGCTTATACCGTTTGTTATACATTAAACGCACACGCGAAAACGTATTCTGCGCTTGCGCAGACGCATATGCACAGTCGTAAAGGTCTTGCACGTACGCGTAAACGCCTACGCGCATGCGTCACCGTGGCGCATGCGCAGAAAGATTTTAGCTTTGAGGTCCGGATTATGGGTGTCCGAATTAACGACTTTTGACTGTATTAAGAATTAATAAAAGCTTTCCTACATGTAGCATAAGCATTTCTATGTAACAGTGTTAGAAGCATAACAAAAACGAATTTTACCTGATAAGGACTCTCAATTGTTCTTGACTAGAGACAACATCTACTTTGAGCGACATGACCAGTGGACCCCAGGTATCATCAAGGGCAATAAAATTAAAATGTTCCTACAAATATCACAGAGAATTTAATATTTCTGTCTTAAAGAAAAAGGCCATAGCATATATGGAAATACTTGAATTTGATTACATTTCAACAAAATAAAGTGATATTGCACTAATTTAAGCAATAATAAAGTAATACTGCAGTAATTTATCATTTGTTGTTTTCTCAAACAGTGATTAACTTCTCAGTCGGTCAACACAGGAAAACCTATGAAGTTACTGGCTAAGATCCGTACCTAAGCAATCTCAGTCACGGGAGTATAAAAATACGAGCCTGGCAGTTCTCTATAACCTGCATGTGTAAGTAGGTAATCCTGACTTCATTAACTCGACTTCAGTATGGGCATCAGGCATCCTTGCGTAGTACTGGGAGGTAGCATTTTGATGACGAGGCAGATCTCCAGGCATGAATTTCCCCTGCCACTGAGATCTCTGGGAACCAGAAGTGGTGACCTCGCACATTCAGGGCATAGCAGTGGCAAAAGAGAAACTTTTAAGTCTGTTGCCTTGGCGTGGGAGGCCCCGGAACAGTAGCATGAATAGTATATCACATTATTTTTTCACAAATATTTGAATACACAATACATCACCAGCTCTTCAAAAACAAACTATGATATTTTCCAATCGTGTAGAAAAATAAGGAAGACAAAACAGCTGCTGTTAGAGACAGCAAATTGACGTAAAAAATTATTCTAATTGAAAATAGATGAATATGAGCTCAGAAACGGTGGTGACATAAAGTGCAGACATGTTAATAAATTAATTACCTCTAAAAGAATTAATGAGACACTATTACCTTTTTATAGGAACTTATTTTTAATTCCATACTCCTTTTAAAAATATTAATTATATCTATTGCTAAAAGAATATTTGTGAAAATAAAAACAGGTTACTTTGCTAAAGTCTATGAGCGTCTATTGACAATACTTTGTTTCTTTGTGTACCAACTACTTTTCTCTTGTGTACTGCCAGTGGTATCCGTACCACCAGTTGAGAATCGCTGAATTAGAATATTCTGTCAGCCACTGATTCTTGTTCACTTCGAAAGCAATTTTTTAGCATACGTTATCAGTATACTTATATTTTAAAATATAATTAATTAAAATTAATTTTATTTTATACTGGTATTAATTAGTTGAGTTAAAAGGGAACATTAATTTTTAATAATTCAAGGCTATTAGAATTTGGATAATCTTATTTAACCCTCTCGCTGCATAATTTTTTTTATCAAAATAGGTTGCATAATTTTTTAATTACATATTTCAAATCTACATATATTTAGAGTTAATATATAAAAAAAGTTTTTGTAAAAGAGTTTTTTTTTTTTTTTTTTTTTCAGTATAGAATAAACTCATAAAAAAAGTTTGTCGGAAAGTTTAAACTGAAGAATAATCATATAAAAGAAAAATTTTGAAAATTAATCTTGGATAAATTATGATTTATTTTATCAAATGTAATGGTAAACGTATATACTAATGAAATACGCAAAATAGTTATAAAACATTTATTAGAAATAGAGTGTAATATGATAAATTTCGAAACAAGGCTCGAGGCATCTTATCTCACCATCTTTGCACCAAATACACGTTTCTTTGAGGATTTTTTTACCAGCTTCAGTTCTTTTTTTAGAAACAAACAACACAATGTCTACGAGTTTCTTTCTTGATGGAATTGGGGAATATATATATCTAGCAAAATATCGAGCAGTTAATCTCCTGATTGAGAGTTGAACTACAGTCATCTTTGAGCTTTGAAAAGAGCACACAAAATGGTTCAAAATATGTTTGTATATTTCTCAAAAATATAGAAAACTAATGCCATCTGTTAACCCGGATCTGAATAAATAATTAAACATCACAGAAAAGCAGAAATGAAACCATGAACAGGAAAAGAGAGGGTTGCACAGTTAAATAAACGACAAATATGCATCCCCGCGCAAATTTTGCTACTTCTATGTTGTCATGGAAATTGCGAGATACACAGCGAGAGGGTTAATAAATTAAAAATTAAATAAATGTTGATATTTACATAAATGAAAGAGATGAGCCAGTCAATTCTTGCTATATGACTGGATGTATGCTGCTAAGCAGGATCGGCACAAACATCAAGTTATTTTAGGTATTTTGTTTTTCATTTGAGTTAGTGAAGAAAAACCTTTCCTACATAGGTATGTGGAAACAAACTGAATATAATTTATAAAGTACCTCATAGAATTCATTATGTTATATTTCACTGATAATGAGTGACAGAAATTTATCGTATCTTCCACTTGGAATTTTATTTTCAGTCCGGTGTCATTTGAGAGTTCAGTTAACTCTCAAATTCTCTTTTATTCAATGATAGTTTATTATTTTCAGTTTCACAATGGAAAGGATTATGAACTCAAAGGAATGAAAATTTTTATGTTTACCACTTAAAAAATAAGTCTGAAACTGTTATAAATCACTGCATAATTTTTCTCCAATAACAATATCACTTTCTGTTAAAAACGATGATAAGGTTGGAGATGGTGAAATATTTATATAAAATTTTCTGATATGAATTACATGTACATAACCCACAAACCCAGTTTCCTCTTAAGCTCCTTTATTTTATCATAACATAGACCAGGGGTGAGCATTAAGTTGATCGCAATCAAACAGTGGATCACCAAGACATTTTAGGGTGACCGCCCTTACCTAAGACACATATACTAAAAGAAACATATTTATGGAACACAGAAGAAATGAAGGTACATTAAACAAAGATAACTATTATGACAAAATAATAAAATTTCACTCCAAATTTGAGAACTTTTTCAAGAATTTACTAGACTAGAACCAATTGTTACATTCATGTGTTACCCATTTGGCAATGTTAATATGGAAAAATAATTGAAACTATAAATTAAATACTCTCTTTATCTCTTGAGGAAAACTAAGTTTTTCTCCTTCAAAATGACACATTTTTAAAAGCACATAGTTCAGAACCTAAGAATAACTTCTGAAATATAACAAACAAGTTGCATTTCATTTAACACCGTTCTTTGGCTCTATCTACCTGTGTAAATCTGCATTTTCAACGACGAATATATTAAGACAACATTGAGATTATGAGATTGACGCACTGCCTGCTGCACTACCAAGGCTTCAATTAAGACAACATATTGTTCCTGTCTCACAGGCAACCACTTAAAATCCAGTGGAAGATTAGCAATTAGTAATTAGATACCAATAATTCAAGATCGGTGGACAGTATGTAGACTAAGTTTTCTTCTAGCTATAAGAACTACCTTTAGACGAAAATGATTTATTTTTTAATGCATTTTGAATTGTTTGATGATAAGAAATGCATCATTCGAAATTATTATATTTGTGGCTATTATTATTACCTTTGTATCTTGCATTTTGCTTTAAACGCGGTTTTAAAAGAGTAAGTTGCCCGTATCCTGGAAAAGTCTGCCCACCTCTGACATAGACCTTATAGACAGAGATTTAGTTCCTTTAGTTTCGAGAGTACATCTGAAGCTATGCATCATCAGTATGAAATGATATAAAATCTTAATTAATTTTCTTTACAAATAACAGGAATTCCTGTTTTAATTCAAAGAGCCTTGTGAGTAACTTACATTGTAAATAGCAGCAAACTTCAAAACGAAAAAGAAACTGTTTGTGTTCTACCATATCATCACAAACCAAAGAAAATACTCTGTCATTCAGAGACCTTAATAAATTTATTATTTTAATGCTGGCTTCTAACATGGTTTTGAATTTAGATATCATACTATTCGCCATAAGGTTTCCTGGTGAATGGAGCAATGGGTTCGGGTAACATTAGGGTTTAATAACTCTAGCTATAATGTCAATATGCTACCCAGTGTACAGCCCATCCAAACGGATTGGCAATCAATTTCATACTCTTGTACACATTCATTTAGGACCTTAAAAACTTGTTCTCTAGTTGCACGGATTAGAAGAGTCTTAAAAAAAAAGTATCTTCATGAATGTCATTGTTAAACTTAACCTGGCATAATAAGTCAACTGTGGTCATTTGAAACTTCGTTGTCTCAACTATTTGAATTAAATAAAACAGACCTTTTATTCTACTGATTAGATCCAGCTTTTTACCTTGTCATTGAGTCAATGAAATTAATACCCTTAGGTAATTTTTTATTAAATTCTTTTTAAATGCATGTTTTGCTAATTGAAAGTATTAAGGTTCTGCCAATAGAATGAACTGTCCTGATCTTTGCAATGAAAGATGTGCAATGTATGAAACTTTTAAGGCATTTTAGTTATGGATTCTAAACAACTTCTTTATTCAGTTTTTCAACACAGTGTCATAAAAATCTGATAGGTTTACCTTCTACACTTGCAAGTTTCGTCTCTTACGTACCATTTCAGTTTCACGGGTTTCACATACTATTTCATAACTTACAAAATACTCAGGTTCTGGCTCACTCTCATTGCTACACAAAGTAAATACAAATTTTAAATAACTCTTATCGTGTTTATCAAAGTACTTTTTCTTTGAACAGCTACTGGGACCAATAGATGGTTCTTTAATGACACTAGCATCACTGATATTAATATGATAATCAAACACAGACCCTGCACAACACTGCCTAAATAAAGGGTATCATTGCTTTCATTTTAAATATCTGGTTTGATACTTTTTTCACATGCATTATTATTATATTATATTATTACTATATTGCTATTCAAATCAACTGTTTCAGTGGCCAATTTACTAATCAAATTATGTGGCAAAACTGAGTTAGCAAGTCCCAGCTTCATATGACAACCAAACATAACTTCATAAGGTGAACATTTGATTCCTTTGTGATATGCTTTGTTTTTCATTGCTTGAATAAATTTTCATCCTTCTGACCACTTTTCTGTCTTATTTGTTTCCATCCATGTTCTCAACATCATAGTTTGTTCAGTCAACAGAAGCTTGCGATTGATTGTGTCTCGGTTTATTATGAACTATATTTATATCACTCCATATTTCACATAAACTGCTTATGATTTTATTGGAAAATTACATCCCATTGTCGGAATGTAGAATGTTCGGGCTTAAAAAGTTTTAAAAATATCCAGAAGATGATATGTTACTTCACAGCTCTTTTACTGAGTAAACTTCGAACTAGGAAGAATTTTGTTCGATGACCTCACTATACTAAAATGAATTTCATATCATAATCAAGACTGAACTACATATCTATTTGGTTGACTTGGAATTGAGAATTCATCTCACTATGCCCAACTGGTTTGATTACAATCCCCTTTATTACAGTTTTTGTTTTTTCAGACATAGTTCACATAGTCTCAAATACGTGACAATAGATTCTACTGCTACATTCTTGTACTTGCGATTCAGTTCCTTAATCACATGGATTCTTCCACCATGGCTAACTGCGATATGAGCATCATATATGACGTTGAAGAATTCAACTGTAACATAATATGGGATTTCTGTTTTTTCTGCAGATAGTGTTGCTATAAGTTTGTCCTCTACTCCAATATTTAGAATATCACAGCATTACAGTCTTCTGTAATGAAATGTTTGTTTTTCTTTCACACATTTTGCTTCTTATATTTCATTTATTCACAAAGTGTATTTCTTATTTGTTAAACAAAAGATGTTATCGTGCTTATTTTTTAAAAAGTGGTGTGATGGAATTTGAGTGTACAGTCTTATTCAAGGTTGATTTAAATCCTTCATTTTGGACTTTTGCTGGAAGCCGCTGGATAACTCCTCGGTTTTAACACAAAGGCTTGGCAAAAAGCCAATATGGAATCATATTAAAGCATACTTTGGACTTTTAGCAAGTCACTTTGGTAAAAGCTAGGTTACCTGTAAACACTTTGAGCTTTTACAGTAACATATATATTTATATATATAAAGAATAGTTATCATTGAAGTATATAATAATTGAAGTATATAATAACAATTAATAAAGAGATGAGACGAATTGGCTGTTAGACTGTAACATGATAATAAATCAAAAAGTAGAGGTCAGAACGAAAATTAAATAATAATTCTGTTCCAAAAATTTGAAGGTCTAACTTTCTCTCTCTAGGTAAAGATTACCAAATTGAATAAACACAAATTAAGGAAACATTCGAAAATGGAATTGTTAAAAGAAAATCAAAAATTAATTTTTATTTTTAAATTGTTAATTTTCTTTTAACGATTCCAATTTTTAATCGATATAAATATAATATACACATTATTATTATAACCACTATATATTAATGTATTTATTATGTCTATCACACAATATACTTTAATTTTATCTAAGGATATCAAGATATTTAATAGGGCATGCATCTAATTTTATACAATAGCGGCAATATAATCAAATTGTAGACTAAAATTAAAGCAGCTGTAATTTTAAAAAAGAGGGCAGTCAATATTTATTTATTTATTACTTTTTTTTGGAACTAAAACTAATACATATATTTTTCAGTTTCTCACTTCATTGTAATACATCAAAAAATCACTTTCAACAGAAAAGAGATCAATACAATAAATAACAGAAGAAAATGTGCAACAGAAAATTAAATATAAATACCTTTCCATAAAAAAACTTTCTGTACAATTGAGCAGTTTCATCTCTCTCTATTTTAGTAGAAAATTCATGTTTTGGTATAATAGGATTTCCTTGACTGTCTAAAGGACAATTATGATGAACACCATCAATCCAATACCCACCACCAGGAGGTAACACAATTAGAGGGTATGGACCAGATTTTTTCAACATCTGTAAATACACATTTAAAAAAGCATAATCACCATTTACTTTCAATGCAATTGATATAATTTGCACCATTTAGTAACATTTAAACATATTTAGAAAAAGACCATTCTGCTTCTAATATATACAGGCAGGATGTGCTGCTAAAGAAGCTACATTTTCACACCACACTGCTAGACACAAACTCAGTTTCAAATAATGAGACTGCACATTTAAACTGGTTAAAAAGTTAAAACATTAATTACATAACAGTAATAATGGTTAGCTAAAACACCACATAAAATGAAACTTGTTCCAATTGTTGCAAGATATTTCAGTCTGAAGAAAGGAATTTAAATTAAACTTTTTAAATTTGGATGAGGTATTAAGTAAAACTGGTCAAATTTTGACTATGTATCTTTTTGCAGTCTATATTAAAAAAAAAAGAAGTTTGTTATACTACTGATAACACTAACGGTAATTTTGGTGGTGGGAAGAGAAAAGGGAGTGAAAATGTCTTCAGAAGAGTTCAAAGTGTTTTAGACGGACTTACTTTAGGAACTGGTTGTTCAGCCCAAATTGTATGAAATTCTCTACAAAAAACATGTGAATCTTTTTACATAGAAGTTATTTGAAAATCTAAAAAGGGAATTGTTTTTGAAACTTTTATATGGTACTTCACAGTTGTTTAATAATGTAATTCTGAAATCAGAAGCTTAATTCTATCACAGCAACAGAAGCATTTCAGATATATTATGAATTAATTCATCAAGTTCAGGAAAAAAAACCCCACAAATTTACACTATCTTCTGTCAAAGAATTGCTATGCATTCTAAAAGAAAATAGTGATGTTCATGAACAAACATTCTTCTCAAGCATAGACAATTTTTATAATTTTAGTGCCCAATACTTAGAGTTGTGGAAAACCAATTTTGATAAAATTAGTAAGTTTCAGTGGATAAATTTATGAACTGAAATTGCGTGGTCTGATTTAGAACACAGGACACAAGTTGTTTATAAAATTATAAAATTCCATAAATACTGATGATCTATTTGATGAGCATACATTGTTGAGCCAGGTAATTTAAAACCACAGTTTGGTTCTGAAAAGTACCAGACACTATTGAAGAGAAATGGAAAGCAACTTTTAAGGTGGTTCAAAAGATTAGATATTACATATTGCAATATTTCTAAAATAGTTGAACCAGTGATATTTCTGGTGAGGATATCTGCTTCAGTTGAGAGACATTCCCCCTCCCCAATTATAGGGAATACCCAATTATGCCCGCAGAAAGGGATCGACTTTCAATATCTATTGTTAAACATCTGCTAAATGTTAAAATTAATTCAGAATTTCTCATGAATTTCCTGATATAATTAAAATAAACAAATCACTTCTGAAAAGTTAAACTTAATAAAGTCTGATGTTTCAGTAAACTGTTAAGACTTCTAAGCAATTTCAAAAATACATCATCAATAGGACCTAAAAAAATATGGTAAGCCTAAATATCTGGTTGTAATGAAAAATTTCCACCAAAAAAAAAGTTCTTAATTAGGAAAAAAACATAAAATCAGTACCTTTAGTGCGGGTAGTAATCAGCACCTAAATCTATCATTTCCTGCTAACATTTTAGTCGTTTTCAAAGCCTTTGGCCTAGAAACTTGATGGCCACTAGTCCAAAAAACAGATCAACCCCACTTCAGACGTTCTGTGCAAAATTGAAGATATCACCAGCAAGATGTAGCTGCAGGTGTGAAAAAAGGGAGAAGTCCAAAAGAGCGATGTCGGAGCTAGATGGTGGGTGTGGCAAAAGATCCCATTTGAGTCCATACAGAGTCCAGGCGGTGAAAGCAGACACATGTGGTTTTCCACTACCATGATGGAACATTACCTTTTTGTGCTAGAACTCAGTTTGATGTTTTTCCTTGATAGCAGCATCACCACGGATTAGCATCTTGTAGTACACCTTACTGTCAAGGGCATTTTCTTTTTCCAGATACTCTTAGTGGATAATTAGCATGGCAATTCCCCCAAACACACAAAGCATGATCTTTTATTTGCTCAAATTGGAATTCACAACACTACCAACAGCTCATAGGGCATATATCAAACCCCCTTTTTTGGCCTGTGTTGTTAAAGTAAATCCACTTTTCATCACAAGTAACGATCCGGTCCAGTACTTGATCCTTACATTGATATTCGAGCAGATTAGTGCAGGCCCAAACACATCTGTTCTTATCTGCTTGAGTCAGCTCATGCTGCACCAGCGACTGAACTTGTATGCCAAATGTACGTGACGCACAGTGCTACTAATGGACATGGCACTAATGTCTAACACCTTAGCTAGTTCTTCAGTGGTTGCATACTATTCTTTTACCACAAGTTCTTGGAAGCAAGCCTCATCAACATTAGTAGGCCAGCAAGACTGCTCTGCTTCTTGAACATCATAGTCCTTGTTTTTGACTTTTGATTCAAACCTTCAGTGTCATATGATACAACATTAGTACCTAAAGTTGCACATGATTTGGTGAAATTCTATAGCTGACTTTTTGCAACAAAACTGGAAGTAAATGATGGTTCTAATTTGGCAGCGTGATAGTTCCATTTCAAACACCTTGTACTTAATGATACTTTTTTTACAAATTTCATAACACGGTGTTCTAAAGTAAGTTTCTTTCTTTCAAATGCTAAAAATCATTTGACAAAATATGATTAAACACGGCAAAGCAAAATGTTTGTGCAGATGATATTTGAATTGGCGGGACTCTTTCGTTAAAACCCGATATATATATATAGTGATTAAACCAAATGATAATACTACAACTAATGTCAAAGTGCATAAGCATTCATATTTGCTACTGAAAATTACAAATGTTTCACTGAAAATTAGAATACCATATAGAATCCTATTTGTTTAATTAATTCAATCAACATTTTTCTGAGTTTGGTGAAGATTTTACATAAAGCCTGTAAAACTTACTTTTATGACAGTGAAATTCACATTTCCACTTATTTATTTTTACTCAACTAATTACGAGGGCCATCCAGGAAGTAGATTACGTTTCCGTCTGTGTCCGCTAGGGGCGGGGCTAGCGCGGCCATCTTGGGGTCAGAGCGTTGCGCAGCTCAGTCTGCATCTAGCCGTGCTAGTGAGAGGTTCGTGCTGTGCTCCGTTCAGATACTGTGACGGTTTGAAATGTCTGCGTTAATTGAAAATCCCGCGAGCTGCGAGGTGCGCTCAGTAATAAGGTTTCTGACTGCAAAAAACTGTAAACCGATAGAAATCTATCGGCAGCTTCGTGAAGTGTATGGGGACAACATTATCACTGAAGGTGGAGTGCGTCAGTGGGTCATAAGATTTCAAAATGGCCGAACCAATGTTCACGACGAAGATCGAAGTGGGAGACCCAGCATAGTGACCGCCGAACTTCTCGAAAAAGTCGATGCTAAAGTCCGTGAAAATCGAAATTTCACAATAACGGAACTTTCTTTGAGTTTTCCACAAATTTCGCGAAGTTTGTTGCACGAAATCATCAGCGAAAAGCTTGGTTACCACAAGTTTTGTGCAAGATGGATTCCAAAAATCTTGACAGAGGACCACAAAAATCAGCGAATGGCTGCAGCGTTGAACTTTTTGGACGCTTACCATAAGGATGGTGACTCTTTACTCGATCGCATCGTTACTGGTGACGAAACATGGGTGAAACATGTGAACTGTGAAACGAAATTGCAATCAATGCAGTGGGGGCACACAAGTTCTCCCCAAAAACCCAAGAAATGCATGCAAACAATGTCGGCAAGGAAGATGATGGCGACTGTTTTTTGGGACAGAAAAGGTATAATAAAAACACGATGCATGATATTTAACTCTGTTCTAACAAATTTCTTTATACGTTATGTCAGATAAGTATAGTACTTTCTGATTATTCACATCTTCAGTTTTAACAAGCTATGAGTTACTATGTTTTGGGCCCATTTTCAAGCATATATATTTTAGAAATTTCAAACATATGGCAAACTTACATGTGGATATATATGCCTTAATAAGCAACTTACATGTGGATATGTATGGATAAACATAATTTCATTGAATATTAATCACTAGCTGTAAAATTATAAATATTGGCTACATAGAATTTTTCTCTTATGAGCATTTTTTTTAATGCAAAGTGCTAATTTTTTTAATTATTTATGTACAGAACAGTACCTATTAGTCTGAGAGATACCGAAGAAAACAGAATTGCCAATGAGTCGCCAACTTTTCGTGAAGCACAGCAAAACTAACATCATAATCTCTCTTAACAGGCAAATATTTACAAGCGTCATTTTCTTTAAAACTGATTTCATACATTTATATCAGTTTGAAAACCAAATTATGATCACTAACAAAAGATCTTTAAAGTTGCTGCAGTAGATTATAAACTCATCACAAATTTCTCTGTTTAATGAAACAAGAGATCTGGAATTGTTTGACTTCATAATTTTTCGAGTTATAAAATATTAAAATCTTGTTATACATTACTAATAGCAACTAGAACAAAACTGCAAGCCTTTAATTAGCTATGCATGCATATTATACATTATTAGAAAGTAATATATGTCAATAAAAGATTAATTTTAGACTAAAGATAAAATCTTTCTTAAATACATTTAAGTTCTCAATTATCGAACATATATTAATGGAGCTTAAATTAACAGTGATTTATAAGGTATACATGAATGTGTTTAAATAGTGGGTATCTTACTTGAAAGGAACCCCAAAAATTTTTATTTAAAATGGTAAGAGGGGCAATGAAATGAAATTTGAATATGACATAATACTAGAGCTGGATTTAGACTTGATAAGGCCCTAAGCTATTTGAAATATTGGTCCTTTATAAGTGCAGATATTATATGTCAGTGGCAAAATGATTTTTTTTTTTTTTTTTTTTTTTTGAGCTCCCAAGAAGGTGGGGGCCCTAAGCTTTCGCTTGTGTAGCTTATACGTAAATCCTGCACTGCATAATGCTATGTGTCAGAAATGAAAAAAGTAAATGACAAGAAATGACTTTGTGCAACTTCTAAACAATGATCAACATGACACTGCAAGTTTGTGAACATGGTTACCAGAACCTCAAGTATCACTGCCTGGATTTCATGGCAGATGTTTTGTCATAACTCATCAAGGATGGCATGCCTGTTCTTGTACACCTTTCCCTTAAAGTTACTTCAAAGGAAAAAGTACAGTGGAGTCAAATCTGAGCACCGTGGAAGCTGTAATCCTTTCATAATAGCTCTATCTAAGGAAAATTATTAACCTTAGCCATACTCATTTAAAAAGTGTGCCGTGTTGCAGTATCTTGTTATTATCAGTTGAATGCCACCTCCTGATCATCTAATTGCTTTGTAAGTTCTTGAAATACTTTCGTGTAAACTTTACTTTTCACAGTGCCACCTGACGGGATTTTGGTTAGTGACTGACTACCGTATCATATGGCCCGGGTTTGAATCCAGAAGGCATGGATATTGTAAACGTATAAAGTCTTTGCAGCATGCATGGGGGCACTCTAAATATATCCCAAGCCAAAAATCCTCTCATGTGGCTTGGTGGCAGCGGAAGAGAGGTAGAAGAACACTTGTCATGGTAGAATGGGAAAAAATAGGATTATGTGCTGTTTTAATAATGTACAGAATATGCCTACCATTTGTGAATGAAGGCATTCCTCAAATATTTGATGCATGTTTCCTCTACACAATAAACATGTGCTCTGAGAGTTTACATAGGCAGATAGGTGAAACCATGCTTCACTACTGAACCATGTGTACTCCAATATATATCAACCACTGGTTTAGTTTCAGCAGTTCATTGCAGTTTCAGCAATGAACTACTGAAACTGGTGGTTTACAGTAAGATATTGACTACAATAAATGTTATGCACTTATTGTTGTCAGTTTCTTACTGTAAACCAGTAGGGAAGTAAGTTGGCTTTTTCTGCAGTTCTTTGACATGAGCTTTGTGACAATCCACTTTCCTGTGACAAATGTCGAAGAAGAGACTTTTCCTAATACTCAGTTTCTTGCATCATCGTCTTTTCCTTCTGACAGCAGCAGGTGTTTCCTGACGTAATGATCCAACACTGTTCCGCTGATCTCCAGCTTCCTCATTAAATTTTATATGCAGTGTTTAGATGGTTTTTATGGGCCACTAAACTGTTCCTAAAACATTCACTGACATGTCTTACTAATCCTATGTTATTTCACAAGAAACATACACTTGTCAACAGAATAGTGATACGCTGTCAGTAACTTATTCTACTTCCGCTTTACTGGAACACAGGCACCAGAAACAATGATTCATGGAAACTGCCTTTTGACACATATCTTCATTGTTTACAGAATGCAGTGTTGCCACATCAACTTTATCATGTAATGGATTATCTTCTATCCAAATTTAATCACTTTTGTTAAAATTTTTACACAATAACAACATAATTTTAGACATTCCTTTCAAGTAGGATACTTAATTTATGTATACATAGATATAGATGGAAATATAAATCCACAGGCAGCACAAAAAACTCAAAAATTTTCCATTGCTTAAGAATCAAAATTATAGCCTAACAAAATGTAAATTTTTAAAATTATAAATCCAGATATGATGTAACATTTGATAAGCAAAGATAAGTTCCACAAGATGGCAAAATTTTAATACCAAATATTTTGGCATTTATTATAGTAAGTTTTATCATAAGTAAATTAAGTAGTCATCTAACAGGTAATAAAATTTTTCCAATGCCCCTCCTAAAAAAAAAAAAGGAGAGGAGGAAAAAAAATCAAATATTGTAAATCATAAATTATCACAAACAATACACAATATTAATTTTCTTCTTTAAAAAACTTTTTAATTATTTATAAATTTGTGTTAAGTTAAATGCACTGAACTTTACAACTGTTCATTAAAAATTTCAAGTAGTAAATCAATTTATAGAATTTTAATTTATAAGTGAGTTTCAATTTAAAAAAGGAATAATATCAGCTTTCACCACATACCTCCTCTAAAAAGTCATTTTCTTTCTTCATTTTTTGTTGTGCACCAGGGCTCTATTAAATAGCATATATGTTTAAATATTAGAACTTCTTCATAAAATAATAATATCATAGATTAAATACCCAAAATTAATAACGTTAAACTTAAGTTTATGCTAAAAACAATAAATTTTAAGAAGTGAGGAAAATGATATAACATCAACGCTACAATTCCATAAAATTAAGATATCATTAAATATTCAGAGCCTAAAAATGGAAAAATTAATGCATAAAAATAATGCCTCAGTGAAAAGTAATATATCATACACTACACATCTTCATGCCCTGTTATCATTACATATCTGCAGTGAATTTATAAAATCACTTTTATTGATCAAGTTTTTGGCAGTGTGTAAACAATGCCACCTTGCAAGTAGCTTATAAATTATCTCAAGCATATTTACCATCAGATAAAGTGCCCAGGTAAGAACACAGGAAGGGGAAACAATTGAGGGTCACGCTTATCCAATCAAGGGTTATTTTTTTTGACAGGAAGTAACAATCACTTATTAGCATTCAACCACTAATTTGTTACATGACAGGATATAAGGACCATGACAGTGTGAAATAATGCCGTAAAGCACATACACACACAAACACACACATGAGACGTTGAAGGAGGGGCGCACGCACAGCCAAACTAGTCTATGAATTTCCAAGGCCACAGGTGCAAGCCGATGGAGAGAGGGGGTAGGCAGAGGAGCCACGTAACACACCTGCAGTGAAGCATGAATTCAATTGGCCCATTTTGACTGGATCTGTAGCGGTATACTCAGGCTCTCGATCTCTGACACACATTCAGCTCATTTGCCCCATTTTTAAAAGGATGAAGGGAAATGTTTTCCTCTTCCAGAATCTCTACGATCCCATCCAAAGGATTTTTCATATTCATGTGAGTTAATTCAAATACCTAAAGCCTAAGTACAGATTTATACAGCAATCGTAGCTGTGGCTATGCAGAAGTTCTGAAAACTTAAGTGTCCTCAAGCTCCAGTATTTCTTAAATTTTGATTAAAATTGCTATTAAAGCCGAAGGTTACCGGAACCCAAAGTGTACTTAACATACGAATTTCTTCATTACGAAATTGAACCGCAGTCTCAGAAAAATACTCTGCATTCATCTAACATATTTTTCTGCAATTACTGAGACTGAGATCGACAGAAGCTCCTTGAAGTATGCCCTACTTGTCTAAGAAATAATGAATTCACAGGAACATACGAATTTCTTCATTACGAAATTGAACCGCAGTCTCAGAAAAATACTCTGCATTCATCTAACATATTTTTCTGCAATTACTGAGACTGAGATCGACAGAAGCTCCTTGAAGTATGCCCTACTTGTCTAAGAAATAATGAATTCACAGGAAAACAGCAATTTAGGGAACGAAAAGAACTCAGAGCTACCTGTTGGAATGCTATCCCTTAAGAAGAGAAATATAAATGTGTGGGTTAATTTGTGAGTTTCTCATTCAGTCAAGATGCCTTTATATGGACTAGTAAACTGTTTTAACTAAATTTTCATTCTCAGACATTGGAATTAGGCAATTACGTTTATTGAACAATCACTGATGAAAGTTTTCTGCGAAGAGGGGGCTAGGATAGAAATTGATCGGAATTTTGTTCTAGCTCCCGTACTTACAAAAGGGGGGGGGGAAATCACGAATAGATTGTGATTTACACGAAAAACTTTTGGCTGGGAACGCAAATATTTTTTATGAACTATTTGAACAAATGATAAATAGTTGACTTCTTTGTGCTCTGAAAAGTAATACTCATAATTCCCGCACTTGAAGATGAATTTCCCTCTAGCCCGCGTGTAATCTGCGCTCTGCTTGCAAGCGCGTGCTCTGGGATGTCTTCGGATCTTCGATGTGCTTTTTTGTTGCTATTATTTCTCTGAAGAAATCAAATATTTTTGATGAACTACTTGAATAACTCATGTATAGTTGACCGTTAAAGTACGCATTCGTTTATATACGGAATCTTTTTAACTAATATGTTGGAAAATCTTTTCAATACTTATTAACAATATTTTTATCAATAAATATATAAATAAATAAAGCAGACAAATTACAATCTGCATTAAAAAATCAAAATATCAGCATGTATGCATTAAATGTAGGTATAGATATTATTCTATATTATTATTCATAACCATAAAATAAAAACAAATCACATGCATAGAGTAAATTTTACAAAGATGCATACAAACGTTTAAAAGGTTCACCTGGAGTTATTGGCAAACGAAACATGGAAATAAATACAAATGTAAGGGTTAAATCATTAAAATGATTTTTAAATGATTATGATAGGATCTAATAGTTCTGTATTACCATTAAAGCTTCTGGCCAATAGCAGACTACAGTTCAAAAATAAGCACAGCAACTCTTACTGCCGCGTAATTCAAGGGTTTCACAGCTTTGAAATGAAATGCTGCTCAGATTATATACTTACATTTCGTTGTTTTTATTACCCTAACTCAATCTCACTAATTTGTCCCTTTCATCTTGTTTCATCATTTTATTTTCATGATATTATTATTAATTATTTCTATTCCATTTAGTGATCATTTTTCTATCATCAATTTAAACTAATCTGTAGCTTATTTATGATTTATTTCTGTATCTCTAATCAAGAATTATATATACGCTCCCCATTTCTGACAGGACCTTCATTCGGCTCCGACACATTTATAGCCTTACCTATGCGCCTTTCACTTTTTTTATAAAATTTTTTGCTGAACACTGTTTATAATGCAGCAGAATATTTTTGCTGCTCGAAAAAGGAGCATGTCGATAAAATTATTATGCTGTTGCCAGTCCTTGGAATGTACCGAATTTTTCTAAGAAGCCATCAATATAAAGTTAAATTTTGCTTAAACTTATATTGTTTATATTCATACATTTCTCAAAGATGCAATTCGTTCAGAGCAAATCCCTTCTCTTCTGCTCATTATTCATAAGAACTTCAGTTCAGTTCTAGAAAACGAATCGATAACCGAATAAAATCTCTATTGACAGTTTTAAATCTTAATTGACTAAAGTTTTAAATGTTTAGAACAGTGTTTGACTGTTCTGAACATTTAAAACTTTAGTTTATAATTATTAAGTGACAGAGTTCTGGCTAAATGCCAGTGCTTTTTATGAAATTATGCAAAGCAGAATGCCAAAGAAAATACGAAATTCATAAATCCGCTAGAAGCATTAATTAAAAATTATACATATTTGCAAAGATATTTCGCGCTTAAACAAATTAGTAAATCCCGAAATCACGGCCAACATTCATGGTTCACCAGAAATAAAAATTAAAATAGGAGCGAAATGTTTAAATATAAATTTTGTTATATGGAAGAAGAATTTCATACTAATAAAAACTGGACTTCTGTAGCATTAAATACGAAGATTAGAGATAAAATATTCTAAGAAAAAATTATAAATATATAAAATAGGCATTTTAAATAAACGTTTAGTACAAGAAAATAGATTTTTTTTCTAAAAATGAGAAAGAAAATCAAAGTTTGCGGCAAAAATTTGGTAAGAATAAAAAAATAAAGGAACTATTTTGCACAAGATTATATATCTAATAAATAACAACAGAATACGACTTAACTATAATGCAAGACTAGCTGACGCTCAAATACAGACGATTCAGTTCGGACCACAGTGCTTACAAGAACAATCCATATTTCAACGCTAGAAAGGACCAACTTTATGCGATATAGCACTCTGCTAATTTCCCATTCAAATACTTAAATATCATGTCGTAATGAGAACTTTGTGAACGAATAAAATTAGGAAAGCACATTACATCATTAGCAAGCAGCTCACGGAACATCACATGCTCTTTGTCCAGAGGATTCTACAATGGATTAGACAGCTTCAATGAACAAATTTCAAACATATCTTACATTCGAAGAAAAGGGAAACGGCATATTAAGTGATCAAGAGACTCACTTGGTTGAAAAGCAATTTACTCGATACCGAGAAGCCAATTTTACCAGAAAGCAATCATGTCATCCAGTGACGAAATATTAAACATTAAAACGACTTTAACAGCTGAAGAATGAATTTTTAATGCTGTAAACAGAAACTGGAGTTTACAACAGTAAAAATTCCTGCGGAGTCATCTAAGTGACACACTCCCAGAGAACAGCTCGGAAAAAAGAATTAATGGCTCAAATGGACGAGCAAGAAGGATATTATATGGCCCTGGCATTGCAGATTAAACTTATATAGCGGTATGTCAATTGAATCATTACCTCAGTTCTACTTTTAAAAACAGAAAACATTAAACGCGTTTTTCTCAAGACATCTTTTCGCGCACTTCAACCTGTTTAAGTAATTGACCGATTGAGACTTCATATTCCATACAGATATTTTTTAACTTAATGACCGTATCTTGAACCTAAAATGCTATTAAATCAATAATAAATATTGTTTATAACAATTTGCTTCTAAAAAATTAATCGATTTTTTAAAAAATATTCTGAATTTTTAATTTTCGAATTTTTTTTTAATTTTGGTGCAAAATCTGCGCAAGATCTCCTTTTAACGAACTTTTGTTTAGATAATTAGAACCTGTAGCCTGACACTGCCTGAGGGGGGGAAAAAAGAGAGAGAGAGAGCGAGAGAAAGAAAGAAAACAGAAAAAGATAAAAATAAATTTCGAGCAACTGTAGCGTTGCTATTCTGAATTTTTATGAAATTTTTTTTTCTTATATCATTTATTATCAATATTATGATGTTCCGGACAAAAATTTAATAAGCATTTTTATTCTTGAATAACTTAATTTTTAAAAACAGTTTACGTGACTCTTCCCTTAAAAGTCCCCAAACTTGGGAGTTACGTAACAAATTAAAAATAGAACCATTAAAAAATACATTTAAAAAACATCTGACGATTTGTATCATAATATTAAACATCATCAAAGCACTATAATTTCAACTGAAAGGAAGCATGAAGTACGACTACAGGAACAGCTGGCGTACCTAGCTAACACTTTTTTTTTTTTTTTC